CAGTACGAAAACAGGTGGAAACTGTTTTTTGACTGGTGCCAAGGGCGAAATGAGGACCCAGCATATTGCTCGGTACCTACGACCCTTGAGTTCCTTCAGTCCCTCCTGGACGACGGCCGGTGTCCCGCTACCGTCAGGGTGTATGTGGCTGCTATATCAGCTCAACACGCAAGGGCTGACAACAGCACAGTGGGGAGCCATAGGCTGGTATCCCTCTTTTTAAAGGGGAGCTCTGAGGCTTCGCCCCCCGAATTTCCCAAGGGCCCCTACATGGGACCTGCCCTTGGTGCTGGATGCCCTATGCTTGCCTCCTGTTGAACCTTTGTTACAGGCAGAACTGAAGTGGCTCTCAGCTAAGACTGCTTTCCCTCTTGCCATCACCTCAGCAAAACGTGTAAGCGAGCTTCAGGCCTTGTCTGTGAACAGCTCGTGTCTGAGGTGGAACTCAGATGGCTCAGGTGTCACCTTATGGACGAACACAGCGTTCCTCCCTAAGGTGCTGGTACGCTCTCATTTTAATCAGCCTATCCAGCTGGCACGGTTTGACCCCCCATCAGGAGAGGGGGAAGAGAGGTCGAGACTCCTATGCCCGGTGCGGGCCCTTAGAGCTTATGTCCAGACTACCGCTGACATGCGTCAGTCTGAGCAGCTCTTTGTGTGTTACGGTGGTCCTAGAAGGGGCTGTGCGCTCTCAAAACAGCGCTTGTCCCACTGGATCGTGGACGTCATTGCCCAGGCATACAAGGCGAATGACCGTCCCTTGCCACCTAGAGTAAAGTGCCACTCTACCAGGAGTGTCTCCACATCATGGGCGACCTGGAGAGGGGTGCCCCTGGAGGACATATGTGCTGCGGCCACATGGGCATCTCCGAGCACATTCGCCAGATATTACAGGGTGAATGTTGCCGCCCCTCACCCGCTGGGTGTGGTCCTCCTGCAGAGTCCGTCTAGGCCATCCTTATAGGTGAGTATTCAGACTTCCTCGTGACTCTGTTGATATAGGTCATCCAGTGCTAAAGCACCGCCTCTGGCGGTCAGTAAGTATGAAATAGAACGATAGTTACGTATGTAACTACGGTTCTATGAATACTGGATGACCGCCAGAGTTCTTGGTCACTCGGAATTTCGTGTTTCTGCGAGAAGATTCCAAAGGACTGAGCCCGTTGACAGCACCGGAACTTATACCTTCCGGTGTCATACGGGGTCACACGTGACTTTGTTGATATAAATATTCGACCTACGCATGCGCGAGACAGAAGATATCCAGTGCTAAAGCACCGCCTCTGGCGGTCATCCAGTATTCATAGAACCGTAGTTACATACGTAACTATCGTTTTATTTATAAAGCACATTTAAAAGTGATTTTTGGTCTAGCCAAAGTGCTGTACATGTAATAAAAACACGTTACTACAATCACAATAAAAGACAATAAATTACAACAGATATATAAAAAACACACGGAAAAGTCAGGAGTCGTGCTCCGCTCTGACTAGAAGGCCAGGGAGAAGAAGTGTGTCTTAAGTGTTGATTTAAAAACCCCTAGGGTCTGGGCCGACCTCACATGGAGGGGCAGAGTGTTCCAGAGCCTAGGGCCAGCTGCTGCGAAGGCTCGGTGCCCTCGGGTTTTAAGCCTGGTCTTGGGCACTACCATGAATGAATGAATGAATACGCGACCGTTAAAGAGCCGTCTGTTTTCGATTCTATGCGAGGAAATGCTTTTGCCAGCCAAAATAGAAGATATTTGTGAATAAATGTTTTGAATTATGAATACTGGACATAGTAATCTTAAAAACATTTTAGTGACCATTGCAAGTGACAAATAAATATTATAATTTGAGACCCCCCCTCAAATGTAGCTGTTGAGGCTTTCAGGGGGGCTCAGGTGTTAATCAGGGCGGTCGAGCTCCCCCAGACCCTCCTGTATTTCGCACACTGGTTACAACGGTTGACGAAGACAATGAGCACAGGATGCACACGGACTACGCAAAGACTTGAACCAACTTCCTGGGCCAGAGAATCGTAGAGACAAGCTGTCCTTATGGTCTCTGTTAATAAATGAAGTCTCTGTTAATAAATTAAAGTATAAAGTTTGCATATTTGAAATTAAATGTTTAAAGAAGAAACTTGATTCTAAACATGACATTGACAATGTTTCTGCTTTCATGAAAAATGTTCATATTCCCTCTCTTTAAAAATACATATTATTACTATGAGTCTTTATTTGTTTTAATTTTAACTTTACATTTTTAATTGTTCATTAAGTAAAAGTTGAACATATGTGACCTCCTTCTCCCTCAAAGATAGAAAAGGGGAAACCACCTGATGCAGAGAGGGAGGAGAGAAGAGACTATAACAGATGATGTGTGAAGAGAAAGGGGGGGGGGGGCTTGAGAGCTTGGGGACTTTCTTTAGGCTTGATTTTGGGTCTTGGCTCTTGGGCCCTGGGCCTTGGGACCTGGGCTTGGGCTCTTTTAGACGGCTCTAGGGGATTGACTTGTGAACCTGTTGCTTTTGCACTTTGACCTTGTGTCTTTGTAAAACTTTTGTATCTTTCTTTTGTTATTTTTTGGATTCATGTAAGTCCTCTATTTTTGTTAAAAACTTAATAAAACCGGTTTGTACTTTGTACATTTCGACCCAACTCCTGGTCTCTCTGGTGGTCTCTGAAGGTATCTGCTTGGTCTTAGAGTGAGGTAAGAACACCCTTCCTTGGAAGAGGCTGACATTAGTTGATCATTTGGATTTTAAATTGTTTAAGGGGAATAGAAACTCTGCTAAGGTTAAACTATAGTTTCACATTGGTTACTGGTTAATGTGGTTTTGATTGATGTTGAAATATGACATATGCTCTGCTGATGTGGTAATGTCACTGCTGTGATATTAACGTTTGACTCTGGCTGGGTTTGATATTACTTTTGCATTGTTTTAATTGGCATAATTGGGGATCAAAAGAGGGGCTTAGGGATTGTGGGTCCTGAAGCTGCCCTAATTACCAAGGAGTCTCCCAACGACACAGGGTTTCTCCTCCAGGGGCAGTTTAGATACTGCTCTGGGGTTCTACCAGCCCACCAACACCTACTACACTACTCACTCCGTTTTGCTATCCTGGCGGTCGGAGATCCGACGCTTTAGTGCCTGAAATAAGTGATACGACGGGCAGCTGGTGTTAGAGGCCACGCTGTAGACGCCCCCTAAGCAGGTTACGGTGATCTTGCGTGTAGATTCTGGGGGGTTTAGTCCTAATGGTAGGAAGGCCGTTCTCCGGAGCCTTATCAGCACCAGAGCTCGGTATCGGAGACGACCTAGATATTAACGTTGGTTGTATCGAAGTTAGATTCCTTTTCAGCTTGTTGATTGTTATGTGTTCCTGCCCAGGGACTGCAGGTGGAAATGAGTTTTTAGCTATAATAAAGCATTTAGCATCTATTCTCTTTTTAAGATTAACGTATTTGTATGCATGGTCCTTGTTCAATAAAGACATCAAATAATATAATAAGTCCCCCCCCCCCTCCTCCTCTACTGACTGAAATCTACTCAGAGTGATGTTGAAGTCAGACTCACCTTCAGGGGGTTAGGGTCCTCAGGTTGAAGCAGCAGTGTTGGAGTTTCCTCTTTTCTCTCCTGTAGCTGAACTCAGAGGAAGTTGTTAGTTTGGTCTGAAGGTGAATCTGATCGTCTGGTTTTCAGTCCGTCTCTCTGTAGTGATGAAGTCTGCTTAATGCCGTTTGCTCTCAAGTAACTCAGGGAGTGTCTCGGTTCAAAGTGCGGATTGATTGCAGGATTAAAGGTTGTAGTGAAACATTAACACAACCTATCGTGCAGAGTGATTGTAGGTACTGTAAACCGTTATCAAATCAAACGCGGTAGTTCTAAATCTGAACCCATTCATCTGTACGAGCATACCGTTATGAACCTAAACTTTCCTATTTCTGGGAGCGGGTTTGAGTTCTTGCTGCTGCTTCGAGTTCTACAACGTAGGGATGCCATAAAAACAGCAATCAGACGTTTACTCTTGCGGTCGATAGATTATCTTGGATGTCGTCATTGTTGTAAAAGTCATTAGCCGCTTTCACACCAAGTACTTTGCCGTACTTAGTGCCGGAATAAGTCCCTGAGGGAAGATTACGCAAATGAGCCGCTGACGTCACTTCGTCTTCTTCTGCTTTGGGTTTACTGGCAGGCCGCAAACAACTTCACGGCGTATACTGCCACCCGGAGTCCCCGGCCGGAAGTCCCCGGAGTTGGGGAAGGCTTCAGTAGAAGCTGCTGGGACTCCCAGCAGCTTCTACTGAAGCCTTCCGAGTAAATCGCCAGAACGCCGACACCTCCTCATCTCCACCGCTCCCATATTTTATTTTGTGTTGCCATAAGTTATTCTCTCTCCGTTGGTGCGCGGTGCTAATGCTAATGCTAATAATGCTAATGCCAGCAAATACAATGGCGGCTTCACAAAGCCTTTCAGAGTTTTAATTTGAAGCCAACGAAAAACCAGGGGCAACATAAAAGAGTCCAACGGGAAACAAAATCCACTTCATGGCTCGCCAGGTAGGGCTTCTGAGGGACTCCCCCCTCCAGGACCCAGCCCACTGAGAGAGACCAGAACCAGGTTCCCAGCAGGCTTTTATCTAGTGACTGGTGACCTGGTTCTGATCAGCTGTCTGTCCCCGCTGCCACAGAAGTACTTCTTAGTCCTGACTCTGATTAAATCCTGGGTTTAAATGTAAATGTGTAAACTTAATATGCTGAATGTGTTTACTCCTCCAGGCTCTCCCTTGTGACCCTGTTCAACATTCACTACTTATATAACATACTTATGATTATAAAACCTTTTCTTTAATCCCTGATTCTGAGGAACCAACAGTTAATTCAGGCTCTAAAACTCTGTTTATTATATATAATTTCAGTTTAAACATTGATTTTAATATCTGGAAACATTATAATCTGAAGTAGAAATCATAATGTGTTTGTTCAGAGCTGATAAATGATTGGCCGCTCAAACATTCAGGTGGATAAATGTTTTTATTTATTCTGGATCCCGTCACACACAAATCAGAAATGAACAACAATTTAAAATGACACAGAATCAATGAAACAGAAAAGTTTAAACTAACCCGACATAAAGATCTGAAATCATTCATCATGTGAAGAAAGCTCTTCCTCTCATTGGCTCTAAATCAAACACCATGTTAATGAGAGTTATGGAGAAACATCATTCTGACAAGCTTTGGTTGGTCCCACGTGTTAAGGAGAAGAAACTAAGCTAACTGCATGTAGTTCAGTTTAATAAAGGTTGATCATAGATACAAAAAGAATACCTTCCAACTAAATAACAAGAAACTAAACAGGTGCAGCTTTAGTTCATTTCTCTCTAAGAAATGAACTCCATCAGAGATATAATCCTCCTGTTGGTCTAACTGCTCTGATCCACTGTCACACACACCTTCCCTGGTAATATCTTCACTTCATCCCCAGTGGAAATGTATGGAAACATCTTCTCAGTGAAAGTGTGTGTGAAGGTGTGTATGTGTGTGTTAGTGTCAGGATCAGAGAACGACAGCTTTCCTCTGTTCCAGTCCAGATTCACTCTGACCCTCTGGAGCTCCTTCTTCAGGCGGAGATGAGTTTTTGGATCTGATGGTGACTCTGCTGAGTATTCACCTCCACAATACTCTATTCTCCATAATCCAGACCCTATGAATCCCTTCCTATCAACAGACTCTGCTAGCACACCCAGTTCCCAGTATAAATTGTCTCCAACCTGGACATCCCAGCTGTGAGTCCCTGAGTTAAAGCCCTCAGAGCCCAGGACAGAGCAGTAATCATCAAGCCTCTCTGGATTATCAGGAAGTTCCTGTTCCTCCTCTTCCTCCTCTTCCTCCTCTTCCTCGTCTTCCTCGTCTTCCTCCTCTCGCTCCTCTTCCTCCTCTTCCTCCTCTCGCTCCTCTTCCTCCTCTCGCTCCTCTTCTTTTTCTCCCAAACTGGTCAGATCTTCAGACAGGATGAGGTTTGGATCAGCAGTGTTTGGGTCCAGGATGAGAGGAGAGTAGGACACCAAGTCCTTCATCTTGCTCCAGATGTTGAAGCTGAGGTTGCCCAGGTGTTTGGCCTGGTCTATCAGAGCTCCTGAGGGCAGCTGTGGATCCTCCAGCAGGGGGCGCTGCAGCCTCTCCACTGCAGCCTTGTAGTTGAGCAGGAAGGAGACGTCTTCAGCTCTCAGCTCCTCCTCTGTGGCTCTGACTGTGTGTGAAAGAGCTGCTATCTCTCTGCTCACAGCCTCCATCTTCTCCTTCATCATCCTCCTCTTCTGCTCCTCTTCCTCCCTCAGTGCAGCCATCCTGGCCTCCTCTTCCTCTTCTAGAAACTGGTGAAGCTTCTTAAACTGCTCCTTAACCTGCGTCTCTGTGCGTCGGGCCTGGACCTTCACGTATCCTGCTGTGTGAGCACACTTCACTTTAACTTCTTCAAAGAGCTTCAGTTTCTCCTGAAAGGGCTGCAGAGTTTCCTGGAGCTCCTCTCTGAGATCCTGAGCAGCTTCATCGATGGGTATGAAACTGTGGTTTTTGTGTATTTTTGAATCTCTGCAGACGACACACACTGGCTGCTGATGGTCCAGACAGAAGAGTCTGAGTTTCTCAGAGTGCAGACTGCAGAGAGCCTCTGGAGATCTCTGACCTCTCTCCTGTAGGAAGGTCTCACACAGGTTCTTTAACACCAGGTTACAGGGAGGTTCTCCTCTTGAAGATCTTCTCTTACAGACTGGACACTCTCGTGTTGGTTTCTCTCTCCACCAGTTCTTCAGACAGGCTTTACAGAAGCTGTGGCTACAGGACAGAAGAACAGGATCTCTAAAGACTTCACAACAGACCGGACAGCAGAGGTCTTCCTCTGATCTGGAAGCCATGTTGTCTCTGAGTGAAGCTGAAAACACAGCAGACAGGAAGTACAGTCAGTCATGGCTTTTAAAACTATAATTGTAACCCCAGTATTTAAATGTGGTGACAAGTTATCAGCTAGAGACCCATGAGCTTTCTACCTGTTGTGTCTAAAGTGGTTTCAAAGGTAGATACAGAACAGCTGGTGTCACACCTTAGCAACAACGACCTACTGCTCCCTATGCAGTTTGGATTCAGGAACAATTATTCTACTGAGACTGCATGTTGTTTCTTCTTGGAAGGAATCAAGGCTAAATTAGACAAAGGAGGGATAGTTAGAGCATTTTTTCTTGATCTCCATAAAGCATATGACACAGTAAGTCATCCAACACCTTTATCAAAACTCTCCAAAGTGAAGCCATCAGTTAGCTCACTAAAATGGGTAAGGTCGTATTTATCTGGTCGTTCTCAATGTGTTGGTGTAAACAATAAACTGTCACTAACCAAACCATGCTCACTGGGAGTGCCACAAGGCTCTGCGTTGGGACCGTTGTTGTTCAGCATATATTAATGATCTCCATCCGGATGTATGCTGACGATGTTATGGCAGATTCCTTATTACAGCATATTTCTCTCTTATTCATTAAGGTAACACAGGTCAGAGAGGCCCCATCGTCTTTTCCACAATTACCTAGGCTAAGCAGAAGACCAAAGAGTTTGTGATTTGATTATAGTACAGTTAGTCTTGATAGTTAGGTGGTTCATATCCTGCAAGACTCCTGAAGACGTCATGAGATAATGACTGGAACATACATGTGATAAGGATGTTCGTGTGGTTGGCTGCATGTTGTTCTCGTGTGTGTGTCATTCAGAAGCTATATATGCCTATGTGAAACTTCTACTCTGGGGGCATTTCTGCGATTGGCTGCTGTGGAAGAAGGTGATGTACTCCATTATTATTTGTTGTTGCGCAACTGAATAATAATTAATCTCAACCATATCTGTGTTTGTGTTTTATTGATCTCTCTCTCTGTGTTAACATTTAAAGTTGGTTAATTGCACTAACAACGACACGGTCATTTACACTCAAGGGAAAATGCTGAACAGGTTGCCACTAAGCTCTCAGTAACGCTACACAACGACTAAGTGATTCTTGTCTTACTTTAAATTAAAAAAAAACTGTGATTAATAAAGATGAATGTATTTGTATGCATGGTGCTTGTTCAGTAAAGATATATAATATTATAATAATGCCCCCCCCCCCCCCCCCCTCCTCCTCTACTGATTGATATCTACTCTGAGTGATGTTTGGAGTCAGACTCACCTTCAGGGGGTGGAGGGTCCTCAGGTTGAAGCAGCCGTGTTGTAGTTTCCTCTTTTCTCTCCTGTAGCTGAACTCAGAGGAAGTTGTTAGTTTGGTCTGAAGGTGAATCTGATCGTCTGGTTTTCAGTCCGTCTCTCTGTAGTGATGAAGAAGAACAGAATCAGAATCAGAATACCTTTATTAGTCCCACAGAGGGGACATTTACATTGTTACAGCTGAAAAGAGACAAAGACAGCTTAATGTTAAATATAAGGAAAGTACTCAGTGATGAATAGGAGCTGCTGGAACAGGCTGCCGCTCCTTGGAATGGTTGGTATGGTAACACACTGTTTCCTGGTATGTCTCTTTGTTCAACTTTAACACAAAGGAGTGTCTCATTCCACAAATGCCAGCCACTCCTTTGAATGGTTGGAATTAGGGTGACCAGGTGCCAACAAGCCACATGTGGGACAAATAGGACGTTTTTAAGGGACAATGCGGTACATGTTACTGCCTTGCTAAGAGCTAGATTAGATGTTTATATAATGTCTATCTAACCCTTAAGAATAAACATTTCTATGAAACTATAAGCTTATAAATATTGATAACAACGCTTTACTTTGGTTTAATTGTTTGCACAAACTATGCAAGTGAAGGAATTAATTATATTAGTTTTGAATGGAATTAACATAACTAATTATTATGACCAGAAAAAAATTACTGGGTCTAGCTTACTGCCACAGTCTGCTCCTGACCTGGCTGTGTCATGGGCTGTGTGTGGGCTAAAATGCTGGTCACATCCTTATGTAAACAAACACGCATGTAAATGGCAATTTATCGAGGTCAGAAAAGTTATCGAGTTCATTTTTATTTATCGTACGATAAGTCAATGAATTGCTTATCGCGACAGGCCTAAAGGAGTCTATCACTCCTTAACAGGTATTGAATGATGTTTGGAGTCAGACTCACCTTCAGGGGGTGGAGGGTCCTCAGGTTGAAGCAGCCGTGTTGTAGTTTCCTCTTTTCTCTCCTGTAGCTGAACTCAGAGGAAGTTGTTAGTTTGGTCTGAAGGTGAATCTGATCGTCTGGTTTTCAGTCCGTTCGTCTCTCCGTAGTGATGAAGAATATCAAACTGTTTCCTGGTATGACTCTTTATTCAAATATAACACACACGTGTGTCTTGTTCCACAAACACCAGCCACTCCTCTACAGCTCTCAGTAAACTGGTTTAACTTCATTTCATCTCTTCAGTACAGAACATATTAACCGTCACGGAGCTCATAAAAATATCCTTCTTTTGTTCAGTTATAATAAAGCTTTTATTGTCAGGTCCAGAAAGAGAGTCACTTTGTTCTGGTGACTTGGCACACAGCAATCAAACAGCACAGTCCCTTTTTTTTAGAAGTCAGTTTTTTGTTGCTTTGATTTTGGAGGCAGTTATAGGTTGGATTTATTTTGAAGTAAGATGTGGTTGCTTTTATTTTGAAGTCAGTCCTTGGTTGCTTTTACCTAAGGTACATTTTGAATGCAGGAGTTTTACTTGACTTTACGTAACAGAGTACTTCTATACTGTGGTATTATCTGCATGAATGTTTTAGGTGGTAGATAGAGAAGATAGAAATATCATGTAAACTTAAATACTGTTCGGTAAAATGGCTGATGACTTCCTCTCCAAACGTACCACTCGAGTCGTGCAGGAATATCATGTGACCGTGCTGTAGTTCCTTTATAGCCCAACATTAGCCACCTTTAGCTTAGCGGTGGTGATGTGAAGTCATGTGACCGTGCTGTAGTTCCTTTATAGCCCAACATTAGCCTCCTTTAGCTTAGCGGTGGTGATGTGAAGTCATGTGACCGTGCTGTAGTTCCTTTATAGCCCAACATTAGCCACCTTTAGCTTAGCGGTGGCGACGTGAAGTCATGTGACCGTGCTGTAGTTCCTTTATAGCCCAACACTAGCCGCCTTTAGCTTAGCGGTGGTGACGTGAAGTCATGTGACCGTGCTCTAGTTCCTTTATAGCCCAACATTAGCCACCTTTAGCTTAGCGGTGGTGACGTGAAGTCATGTGACCGTGCTGAAGTTCCTGTATAGCCTAACGTTAGCTTTTTAGATCAGAAATCATAAAGTCGTGTTAATATGTGGAGATTATCCTGCTGAACAAAACTTGTCAGTATCATAAACGTTTGTGCTTATTTTCTGCAATAAACCAAAATCCAATCGACAAATCCCTCATAAATCCTTCATCCCTGCAACACTCCATTACTCCCTGACCTCCTCCCGACGTCTCTTACCTCAGAGTTCCTTTTTCCTCTCATGTAATCAGCCTCCCTGCTCTCCTCTGGATCCCTGAGCCAACATCTCAGAGCCTGATCACACATTGAATGTAAAGTGTAGGCAAGGAGCAGATTACCCGCTCCTCGAGTCCGGCAGCGACCTTAAAGAAGCATCCAGACTTTCTCTCATCACCATGAAGAGCCCTCCGATGAGGTGCATTATTTAAAGTGAGCAGTGACTCAGTCCCCTGGGTTTCGGTTGGCTTTGCAAAGTGGCATTTTTGGCAGAAGAGACGGCCAGCTTATTAAATGCACACATTAGCAAACTGAATTAGCACCACCTTTATTTGCTTCCAGTCTCCCACCTGTTCTTCCCACAGTGCTTTTGTCCATTTTTAGATATAGGAGCAGCAGTTTAAAGGTACATTAATCTACACAACAACTTTCAACCAGTGGTGGAAGAAGAAGTCCTGAATTAAAAGTCTTACTTACCTAAAAGTACAAAACTACTGGCATCAAAATATACTTTAAGTAGTGAAAATCATACTCATTGTGCAAAATGGCCCATTTCAAAATAATTTACAGTATATTATTTCATTATGATTAGTAATGCAATGGCGTCTTTCATTTGTATGTTGCACTTTGTAAAGGGGGGGTTTATTTGAAGTACTTTATATCACCATGTATTAATTATACTGGTTTGTCACATTGTGCCTATGTCAATTCTTAAGTTGATTTAGACACCTTCTGTGGTGCACGGACACATTAATCACACAGAGAGAGATAGACGAGAAGCTTCGTGCATCGCTGAATAAAGTCTCCAGATTTGAACATTGATCACATCTATCTTCTGCTACAGCTCAGCATTCATCAAATCCACTTCAGTAATCAAGGGCTGGCAAAGTTACTTGATTGAGAGAACAGCTCTACAGAACATTAACAATAACTTAAACCAATCACCCATCTGTTTTAAAAATACATCACCAGCCACCGTGCTTTGATTTATAATGCCATCATAATGACTATTCAAGTTACTTTGATACCACTTCATCTCTATTCTGCAGCGCACTTGACTGTTAGCAACGAGGCTAATCACTTGAAACAGCATGTACTACTTATCATTGAGGGTGCTACTCTAATAACATTAAATGGGTATTCATTTGCTCTGCTATGAGGAACTCCTGAAATACTGAAGACTTTATGCAAATGTTGACATTTAATGACTCTCAATGCCAGAATAGACAAAGGTCCACAGTGTTGTGGTCTACATTTTACAGTGTAAATTACCTGTCAGTGTGCTATTCAGCTAGCGAACGTTAGCTATCTATCTATAAAACTAGTTAGCGAACGTTAGGAATGAACTTAGCAAGCTAGCTGGTCAAAGTTAGCTTTCTCCTGTTCAAGCTAGCCAATGTTTCCTATCTACTTTACAAGCTAATGTTCGCTGCCAATACAATTATTTATCTAGCTAACGACAGCTACCTATCTAACAAGGTCACTAGGGAATGTAAGCTATCTATCTGTAAACCTAGCTAGCAGACTTTAGCTATCTATCTATTACACTTCCAAGCAAACGTTAGCTCTCTAAGTAGTTATCTAGCTTATGTTAGCTACCTATCTAACAAGGTAGCAAATGTTAGCTCTATCTGTAACCTAGCTAGCAGACGTAAGCTATCTATCTATTAAACTTACAAGTGGACGTTAGCTATCTAAGTAGTTAACTAGCGTACGTTAGCTACCAATCTAACAAAGTTACTAGCAAACGTAAGCTATCTATCTGTAAACTTAGCTAGCGGACATTAGCTATCTATCTATGAGACTTCCTAGTTGACGATAGCTATCTAAGTAGTTAACTAGCTTACGTTAGCTATCTATCTATCAATCTATCAAACTTCCTAGCAAATGTAGCATATCTAGCTAGCTTTCGCCATATTGTTGGCTCTCATCATTTCAATTCAAATTATTATTTAATACCCTATGGTCAGACTTACAATGTGGACCTGTATCTACCGTTCTGAAAGTGTGAGTAATTGTAAACGAACTTGTAACGTACACTAACTTGTGTACCAACTTGTGTACCAACACAAAATAAGGTAATGTGGAAGCGCCCTAGAACAAGCAAAGAATAATGTGAATAAAGAAGCTGCGAATGTCCGAGGAGTCTTGTTTTCTTGCGATAAAATCATTCAGAATGCACTAGTTTTCAGTTTTCAGTCTCCTTTGTAAGACACCCTGAAATCTATTCTGTAGGCCTATTATATTAAGCTTTAGGGGACACGACAGAAACAAGGAAAAGAGACATTTAGCATAACAATATAATTTAATTTGATGATTGAATGATGCGCTTCCTGCTCATAAACAGCTGGGCCTCTCATAAAGCACACATAGGGAAACTCGTTCCATCATTACAGGCTCTTCTGCTACCCGGACAAAGCTGTTACTGCCTCAGTAGATTGAGGGATTTATCTTTTCAATACAAAGCGCACATAAAACCTCCGAGGGAATATGTCTGACCTAAGCAAAACTTTCAAAAGATTTAGATGAGCCTTTGAAAAGCTCCCAAAAAAAAAAAAAGAAGCAGTTTTTAAATAGAAGTGAAGTAGTTTGGACAGGGATTGTGGCAGGAAACAGCTCCCAGCATGCACTCTGGCAGCAGGATGCAGACAGCGATTGACAGCTGCAGAGATGACAGGACCACAGGGAGAAATATGGCCGTCTGTAGTGAACACGGGAAGAAAAAGCACTTGAAAAGCACATCTGGTGGTCAGGATTGCACAGCACAGCAGCTCAGTCCATCGAAGGGTCATCATTACCACGCTGTGATCAGAATACGTAACTCAGAGAGGAGATCGCCTCTGGAGACGTCTGCTTTACTGCAACCATCACTCCTCCCTTCATCACCATTTAAAGGTCTCCTATTATACTATTTTTAGGCATAATGATAGGTCTCAGATGTATACAAATATATAAATACATGTCTATTAAGTGTTTTGTTCATAATACCAAACAGATCATGCATTTTAGAAATCCCTCATATCCCTCTGTTTCAGCTGTTAGAGAAACGCTGATTCTGGGTCTAAAGCTTTTTTTTTTTTTTTTAAAAGAGAGAGAGAGTAGATCTCATCAGGAGAACTCTCCCAGCAGAAACTCAGCTAAACGCTGCCGTGATTAAACTCCATATCATGTTCCAAACCACATCAGGGATTCTCTCTGAAACAGTATGGAGCTCAAACTCTCTCTGTCTCTCAGGTTTACCACAAGGTGACTTCCTTTTAATTTCCTGCTTCTTCACACATGCTCTCTCCAGTACAAGTTAGCTCTGAGTGTTAGCATGCTAATGTAAACACAGACCATATTACTTCCAGAACACGTCTCATTTTAGTAATGTGGTCATGACGCAGCAAATCTGGATCAGCTCCGTTGCTCCCCCGTTTTTAGAGATGTGGGTACGGAGGAAAAGAGAGAGGGGTTTATTTCCTGACACTTTGAGAGTCTCCTGACACACCGGGGACACACCGGGGACACACCGGGGACACATGGTGATGTAGTAAAGACATCAAAAAGTGCATTTTGCATGATATGTGACGTTCAAACTCCCTTCGAGTCCTGACGCTCCGAAACTACAGACTGACTGCAGAGGAGGAAAAACAGAGAGGCTTTGTATACGAGCAGGAAGCTAAATGATCGACTCCATTACCCCCCCTCTCCCCAGAGTCCAGACTAACACCTCCAAAACCCAGCAGTGTGAGGAAAGGAACAACTGGAACAGTATAAACAATTTGTGAGAACACAGCATGTCCTTGGTGTGAAAATAGAACCGTTACTAAATGAGGGACGATCTACGTAAACAGCATTATAGAAAATATCTGACAAATTAAAACGATCAAACTTTGACTTTTAAGAGTTCAGTTTGTTTAGTTTTCCTTAAATACTAAATACTAAATACTCCTCTCATGTGAAAGACAAAAGGAAACTGCAGTACCTACTTTTCCTTTGACCTCACACCTTAAACAGAAGCTTCTGGAAACACACTCTCAGGGTTACTACCATACGAGTATATGTACACATTATGCAGAGGGCGATCACAGTATGAATACTACCATACGAGTATATGTACACATTATACAGAGGGTGATCACAGTATGAATACTACCATACGAGTATATGTACACATTATACAGAGGGTGATCACAGTATGAATACTACCATACGAGTATATGTAGTACACATTATACAGAGGGTGATCACAGTATGAATACTACTATACGAGTATATGTAGTACACATTATGCAGAGGGTGATCACAGTATGAATACTACTATACGAGTATATGTAGTACACATTATACAGAGGGCGATCACAGTATGAATACTACCATACGAGTATATGTAGTACACATTATACGATCCGTGTATCCATCATTTCCTGGTCTTCTCTAAAGAAGAGGGACCAATGAAAACGTTGTCATGTTGCCGTTGTTCAGCATGGAAACATTCATTAGCTAACAATGACATTATTGTTCTATTAATATAAAGGGAGGTCAGGTACTCTTTAAAACAGCTGCTAGTTATGGGTACTTTTTACTGAAGTACATTTCAAAGCCCTCTTTACTTTTACTTGAGGAAAGAAGTTTAGTCAGTACTTCTACTTTCACCAGAGTATTTTTAAACACGAGTATCTGTACTTCTACTCGAGTAAAGGATGTGTGTACTTTTACTTGAGTAAAGGATGTGTATACTTCTACTTGAGTAAAGGATGTGTGTACTTCTACTTGAGTAAAGGATGTGTGTACTTCTACTTGAGTAAAGGATGTGTGTACTTCTACTTGAGTAAAGGATGTGTGTACTTCTACTTGAGTAAAGGATGTGTGTACTTCTACTTGAGTAAAGGATGTGTGTACTTCTACCCTCTCTGGCGACAGACACACAGACGGATGCTGAGAGGATCTTTGTGTTCGCTCACCTTGCCTCTCCGTCATTGATCACCATGAACATCTCGCAGGACTCGTTCTCCGCCACGGCTCCGCGAGGAACCAGCAGACTGACCCCTGGACCAGAGACACAAACACACATGAACATCCCGACATATAATAATATCATATATTAAAGAAGTACAGCTGTCCTACATGCAGAGGGTAACGGGATATTCATGAGCAGAGGTGGGAAGTAACTAAGTATATTCAAGTTCAGAGGTACTTTATGTACTTCTACTCCACTAGCTCAAACTCTTTCTCTCTCAGGTTTACCACAAGGTGACTTCCTTTTGATTTCCTGCTTCTTCACACATGCTCTCTCCAGTACAGGTTAGCTCTGAGTGTTAGCATGCTAATGTAAACACAGACCATATTACTTCCAGAACACGTCTCATTGTTTCTGACAGCAACGTTTCTGATTGGCCCGTGGGTGTAAAGCCCGCCCACATTTTAGTAATGTGGTCATGACGCAGCAAATCTGGATCAGCTCCGTTGTTCCCCCGTTTTTAGAGATGTGGGTACGGAGGAAAAGAGAGAGGGGTTTATTTCCTGACACTTTGAGAGTCTCCTGACACACCGGGGACACACCGGGGACACACCGGGGACACACCGGGGACACACCGGGGACACACCGGGACACATGTTGATGTAGAGAAGTGACTTTTGCATGATAGGAGACCTTTAAAGAGTCCTCCACACAGACAGGTGGAGGCGGTGTTGTTTCTGTTATCTACTTCCTGTTACTCTCACCAGAGTCTGGCAGCACCAGGCGGCCTCCGGTGGGTCCGAACACTTCGCTGGCTCTCAGCTGTTTCCCGGCGCTGAGCGGCCCATTCAGCGTCATAAGGCCCTTTTTGTGCCGTTCCTCTGTGTCGCTGTAGTCCCGGTTCGAGTCCCGTGGGAAGGAGCTCTGCACTTTGACCTTGATGTCCGGCAGTGGGTCGAACAGATCCTTGTTGGCGGCGTCGTGGAAGCAGAGCGGGGTTCTGAAGCTCCGGCCCGACGTCAGGTCCGGAGGCACGGAGGAGTTCAGCAGCAGAGGGTTTCCTGCAGAGACACAGAGACACAGAGACACACCGTCAAATCACTGAGCCTCCGACGCGCCGCACGCACGCACACACAAGATAAAAAAGGACAATAACTAGAAACATATAAAAACAATGTAATGTTCAACTAGTATTAAAACTTTCCAAAATAATGTATATGTAATTTAGGGCATAACCAAAATAATACTCCCATCGAGCCACCATCGGATTAAAAGTTACGTTTTGACACCCCCCCCCCCCCCTCACTTATCACGCCCCCGGTAATTAACGATTTCCCTAAAAATAAACCAACATTACCCCCCCGCCCTGCAGCAGCTGGGCAGCAAGGACTCTGAGACTCGCCTGTTATCTTGGCAGCAGCTCCCCCCCCCCACTGGGAGCTCCTCTCATTTACAGACCAGTGACCCCCCCCCCCCCCCCCCCCCCACCACCGTCCTTCAGCAGGAAATGACTCCAGCTGATAGATTATGGAGATCCAGCTGTGTGTGTGACTGCAAAGCATTCAGGAGAAACAAACAAACACGAGGGAAGTGTAATGTGGTCTAAGGTTTAAAATCTCTGTTTTCTTTCATATTTTCTCTTCATTTCTTCTTCCCTAACTAAAGGTTTGGTGTTTATAATTTCCGAAGATATTGATAAATGTCCATCACAGTTTCTCCGAGACTAATGCGGTGTCTTTAACCCAAAGATATTCATGTTTCATTTAAATATTATTATAATTTTTTTGTTTTACACATTCAAAATAAATCAAATCAAAAGGCTTTTATTGTACTTTCTACAGACATAGAATATAATTTGTACCCCTTTCTACTTATTTAAAGGTGGGGTAGGTAAGTTTGAGAAACCGGCTCGAGATACACTTTTTGTTATATTCCATGGAATGCTCTTAACATCCCGATAGCAATGAATATCTGAAGTGCTTTGACAAAAAATACATAAATAAATATCATCAGTGGAAGCTGTAGTACTGTAAAAAGCACGACCAATCATCTGAGCCGGCCCGGCTAAAATAACTGGATGGCCTACCTGCCTGTCAGCCTTCCATCTGTGCACAAACTTATCTGGTGCCCTCATTGGTCATGTGCACGTTCGTGTGTGTTGGAGGAGGGGCTCTGTGAGGAAGTGGCAGATTTTTCCGGTTGTGTATTTTCAAATTCTAGCGATCTCGAGCCGGTTTCTCAAACTTACCTACCCCACCTTTAATGTCATGCTACTATTTACATGCCCCCCCCCCTTCCTAGGATACATGACTATTATATTGTTACAAATATCATTTTAATTATCATTTTGTCATTTATTACACTCTTTTTGTCTAATCCCTCAAACACACACACACACACACACACACACACACACACACACACACACACACACACACACACACACACACACACACACACACACACACACACACACACACACACACACACACACACACACACACACACACACACACACACACACACACACACACACACACACACACACACACACACACACACACACACACACACACACACACACAAGCTGGCCTCTTTAAACAGGATTTATGACCTGCACAAAGTAGCTCCTCACACACACAGCTACATCGAGCCGGGGGCAGATATGAGGCGACGATGGACTCTCCCCCCCACGAAGGCTATCACTCGTGCTAACCCAGAAACGTCAGTGACAGACACCCTGTAGCGAGGCAGAAAGTGGATTGATGCTCCATATGCTTCACATTTATCCAGTGGGGGGTCAGGGAGGTGTAATCTAAAGGGGGGGGGGGGGGATTGATTTTCTGCAGCTCGACAATAACAAAGAAGCATGTCTGTGAGAAGAAGACAGCTCCTTTCACTGATAATGGAGAGGTAAATCCTGAGGATGCTACATGCTAACAAACAGCATTTTAGCACTTAGTGGTCTCTCATTGGTTTTCTGAATGTGTTTTTGGTTGTAATGCTGAAATAAGGTCTGTGGTTAACACAAGCTGTAGAGATTTTAGCGTTTTGTTCTACGACATAAAATATGTCAGTAAATACCCCACTGGTGGATTTAAAAATGGTGGTTGCTAAAAAGTTTCTAAATCACGCCCAACATTAGCGACCTTTAGCTTAGCGATGGTGACGTGAAGTCCTGTGACCGTGCTGTAGTTCCTTTATAGCCCAACATTAGCCGCCTTTAGCTTAGCGATGGTGACGTGAAGTCATGTGACCGTGCTGTAGTTCCTTAATAGCCCAACATTAGCCACCTTTAGCTTAGCGGTGGTGACGTGAAGTCATGTGACCGTGCTGTAGTTCCTTAATAGCCCAACATTAGCCACCTTTAGCTTAGCGATGGTGACGTGAAGTCATGTGACTGTGCTGTAGTTCCTTTATAGCCCAACATTAGCCTCCTTTAGCTTAGCGGTGGTGACGTGAAGTCATGTGACCGTGCTGTAGTTCCTTTATAGCCCAACATTAGCCTCCTTTAGCTTAGCGGTGGTGACGTGAAGTCATGTGACCGTGCTGTAGTTCCTTTATAGCCCAACATTAGCCTCCTTTAGCTTAGCGGTGGTGACGTGAAGTCATGTGACCGTGCTGTAGTTCCTTTATAGCCCAACATTAGCCTCCTTTAGCTTAGCGGTGGTGACGTGAAGTCATGTGACCGTGCTGTAGTTCCTTTATAGCCCAACATTAGCCTCCTTTAGCTTAGTGGTGGTGACGTGAAGTCATGTGACCGTGCTGTAGTTCCTTTATAGCCCAACATTAGCCACCTTTAGCTTAGCGGTGGTGACGTGAAGTCATGTGACCGTGCTGTAGTTCCTTTATAGCCCAACATTAGCCTCCTTTAGCTTAGCGGTGGTGACGTGAAGTCATGTGACCGTGCTGTAGTTCCTTAATAGCCCAACATTAGCCTCCTTTAGCTTAGCGGTGGTGTCGTGAAGTCATGTGACCGTGCTGTAGTTCCTTAATAGCCCAACATTAGCCTCCTTTAGCTTAGCGGTGGTGACGTGAAGTCATGTGACCGTGCTGTAGTTCCTTTATAGCCCAACATTAGCCTCCTTTAGCTTAGCGGTGGTGACGTGAAGTCATGTGACCGTGCTGTAGTTCCTTTATAGCCCAACATTAGCCTCCTTTAGCTTAGTGGTGGTGACGTGAAGTCATGTGACCGTGCTGTAGTTCCTTTATAGCCCAACATTAGCCACCTTTAGCTTAGCGGTGGTGACGTGAAGTCATGTGACCGTGCTGTAGTTCCTTTATAGCCCAACATTAGCCTCCTTTAGCTTAGCGGTGGTGACGTGAAGTCATGTGACCGTGCTGTAGTTCCTTAATAGCCCAACATTAGCCTCCTTTAGCTTAGCGGTGGTGTCGTGAAGTCATGTGACCGTGCTGTAGTTCCTTAATAGCCCAACATTAGCCTCCTTTAGCTTAGCGGTGGTGACGTGAAGTCATGTGACCGTGCTGTAGTTCCTTAATAGCCCAACATTAGCCACCTTTAGCTTAGCGGTGGTGACGTGAAGTCATGTGACCGTGCTGTAGTTCCTTTATAGCCCAACATTAGCCACCTTTAGCTTAGCGGTGGTGACGTGAAGTCATGTGACCGTGCTGTAGTTCCTTTATAGCCCAACATTAGCCGCCTTTAGCTTAGCGGTGGTGACGTGAAGTCATGTGACCGTGCTGTAGTTCCTTTATAGCCCAACACTAGTTAGCTTTTTACTTCAGAAATCATAGAGTGGTGTTAGTGTGTGGAGATTATCCAGCTGAACTGAACATGTAAGAATCATAAACGGTAGTTTCTCTTACCTTGTCTGGTGGTCTTGAAGTTGAAGGACTGGAATCCCCCGGTGAGGGCGGAGGAGTCGATGACGTCGACGCCGTACTCGCTGTGGTTCTTCCTGTAAAGCATCACCGCCACCACCAAGATGGCCACCGCGATGATGCCGGCACCGAGACCCGAGTACAGAGCCACGTCGTTGGAGCTGTCCATACCTGAAGAGATGGGACAGAACACAACAAAAGATTTAGAGTTAGTTCTCAAGTAAAGCACAAACAAAGGCCTGTTGCTAATCAAATACAAGAGGCTCCAAGTTAAAGTCAGCTGGGATTAAAGACCACTTTTTAAAATGAAAATAATATATATTTACTGTTAGCAAATCTCAAAAGATAAAGGTTTCCGCTGTCCAAGAATCATCAGCAGGAGAGGACTCTTTAAAGGAGACATGTCATGCTTTTCCGGTTATCACCCGTCCCCTTGTGTTATGAAGGTTTTTATGCATGTAAACGGTGTGCAGAGTCAAACCCTCAAAGTACACCCTGTAGCGAGTAAAACTCTAACACAGAAAATACCTCCCCAAAACGCCTCGTTGGAGATACGTCATTGTCCATTTGATTCTTCCGGGTACGGCATGATGTCAACCCGTACCCGGAACGAAATGGACCAATCCGCGGAGCCGTTACGTTAAGCCCCTGCTGATTGGTCTAAATTGACCAATCCACGGACTTCCTCACACACACACTCAGTGCAGGCAGCTCTGCTGATTCCTCCTCCCTGGCTGCAGGCTGATAACAGACAGTTGGGATCGCGGTGAAATTCTCTCCGCAGACCCATTCTCACAGCGTTTATCAACCTTTTTCTTACTCAATATCAGCAGGAGGACTCTTTAAAGTAGAGACACTACATACTGATATTCACCTGAACATCAGCAGGAGAGGACTCTTTAAAGTAGAGACACTACATACTGATATACACCTGAACATCAGCAGGAGAGGACTCTTTAAAGTAGAGACACTACATACTGATATACACCTGAACATCAGAAGGAGAGGACTCTTTAAAGTAGAGACACTACATACTGATACACACCTGAACATCAGCAGGAGAGGACTCTTTAAAGTAGAGACACTACATGCTGATATACACCTGAACATCAGCAGGAGAGGACTCTTTAAAGTAGAGACACTACATACTGATATACACCTGAACATCAGCAGGAGAGGACTCTTTAAAGTAGAGACACTACATACTGATATACACCTGAACATCAGCAGGAGAGGACTCTTTAAAGTAGAGACACTACATACTGATATACACCTGAACATCAGCAGGAGAGGACTCTTTAAAGTAGAGACACTACATACTGATATACACCTGAACATCAGCAGGAGAGGACTCTTTAAAGTAGAGACACTACATACTGATATACCGGAGGGATTGTGGTTTGATAGCATTCATAACATCTACGTTAACATCTACGATCACCTCAAAGAGTTGTTAGAAAAGGCTGATTTAACATCAAGGTCAAACACAGTAACAATGTGTTGAAACAGAAGTGTGAAGATGGACCATCTGCTTTGTCTCTGCATGCTACATTATGCAGATCAGAGGAACATGTCCAGACGTTTTTCTAAACTGTTCCACATCCCATTCAGGCTGCTTCTCACCCAGTGGCCTGGATCTAATGGTTGTGATGGATATCTCAGCGTGAACAGATGATGTGCCGCTGGTCAGGAGACGTCTCACAGACCAATCAGAGGGATATTCATCTAGAGTATTCCTACCAGGATGATCACACGCTGCACACAGAGTTAAAGTGTGTCCATTTAATCATCACAGCTTCCTTTAAAGCTGCAAAGAAGGTGCAACTTTAACACCAGAGGTCAAAGAAGTATTCAGATCCCTCAAAGTGCTAATGGCGCACTATAAAAGCACTGTTGCAAGTAGAAGTACTCACAACACAGTGTAAAAATACTCTGCTCCAAGTAAAAGTACTCACACCACACTGAAAAAATACTCTGCTACAAGTAAAAGTACTCACACCACACTATAAAAGTACTGTTGCAAGTAGAAGTACTCACACCACCCTATAAAAGTACTGTTGCAAGTAAAAGTACTCACACCACACTATAAAAGTACTGTTGCAAGTAGAAGTACTCACACCACACTATAAAAGTACTGTTGCAAGTAAAAGTACTCACATCACACTGTAAAAATACTCTGTCGAAGTAAAAGTACTCACATCACACTGTAAAAATACTGTTGCAAGTAAAAGTACTCACATCACACTGTAAAAATACTCTGTCGAAGTAAAAGTACTCACATCACACTGTAAAAATACTGTTGCAAGTAAAAGTACTCACACCACACTATAAAAGTACTGTTGCAAGTAAAAGTACTCACATCACACTGTAAAAATACTCTGTCGAAGTAAAAGTACTCACATCACACTGTAAAAATACTGTTGCAAGTAAAAGTACTCACACCACACTATAAAAGTACTGTTGCAAGTAAAAGTACTCACATCACACTGTAAAAATACTCTGTCGAAGTAAAAGTACTCACAACACACTGTAAAAATACTCTGCTACAAGTAAAAGTACTCACATCACAAGTAAAAGTACTCACACCACACTGTACAAATACTCTGCTACAAGTAAAAGTACTCACATCACAAGTGAAAGTACTTACAACACAGTTTAAAAATACTCTGCTACAAGTAAAGGTACTTAAAGCACACTGTAAAAATACTCTGCTACAAATAAAAGTACTCACATCACAAGTGAAAGTACTCACATCACAAGTGAAAGTACTCGCATCACAAGTGAAAGTACTCGCATCACAAGTGAAAGTACTCACATCACAAGTGAAAGTACTCACATCACAAGTCAAAGTACTCACATCACAAATAAAAGTACTCACAGCACAAGTGAAAGTACTCACAGCACACTGTAAAAATACTCTATTGAAGTAAAAGTACTCACACCACAAGTAAAAGTACTCACATCACAAGTGAAAGTACTCGCATCACAAGTGAAAGTACTCACATCACAAGTAAAAGTACTCACATCACAAGTGAAAGTACTCGCATCACAAGTGAAAGTACTCACATCACAAGTGAAAGTACTCGCATCACAAGTGAAAGTACTCACATCACAAGTGAAAGTACTCGCATCACAAGTGAAAGTACTCACATCACAAGTCAAAGTACTCACATCACAAATAAAAGTACTCACAGCACAAGTGAAAGTACTCAAAGCACACTGTAAAAATACTCTATTGAAGTAAAAGTACTCACACCACAAGTAAAAGTACTCACATCACAAGTGAAAGTACTCGCATCACAAGTGAAAGTACTCACATCACAAGTAAAAGTACTCACATCACAAGTGAAAGTACTCGCATCACAAGTGAAAGTACTCACATCACAAGTGAAAGTACTCGCATCACAAGTGAAAGTACTCACATCACAAGTGAAAGTACTCGCATCACAAGTGAAAGTACTCACATCACAAGTCAAAGTACTCACAGCACAAGTGAAAGTACTCACACCACACTGTACAAATACTCTGCTACTAGTAAAAGTACTCACAACACAGTTTAAAAATACTCTGCTACTAGTCAAATTGTGAAGGGACTATTTCAAAAGCATCACATGTTCACATCTGAGAAGTTTGATCCATACTTGATAATTAGTAAAGTAACAGAACAGTATTTCCCTCTGAATCATCGAGTAAAAAGCGGCGTGAGAAACAATATTGAAGTACAGCACGTGATAGGGCTGCTCGATTATGGCAAAAATCATAATCACGATTATTTTGGTCAATAATTGATATCACGATTATTAAATACGATTATTCATTGACTTTGAAAACATCCATTTATTGAACTTTAAAACAAATAATAATTTGAACAGTATCTTTTTAACTGTTGATTTCCCTGAACGTATAATTCAACTGAAAAACCAATACACAAATAAATTAAATAAATTATACATTTAAATAAATAATATCAAAATAATAAATACCAATAAACAAGATCAACAAATATTTTGGAGCGCACTTCCACACGCTACTAAACATATATAAATATGATAAATACAAATAAATTAGACTCAAATTAATTAGATCAAATATGTTGCAGTGCAGTCACAACCAAGCAAAGCTAAATAATAGTTTTTTTCGATTAGGTTGTTTTCGTAATTGTGGCAGGCCAAAATCGTAATTGCGATTAAAATACGATTAATTGCACAGCCCTAGTACGTGAGTCATATTCCTCCTCTGATGATGTTCCAGGTAAATGAAACACCTGAGTCTCTCTCAGCTGCTGAACCAGTGATTGAGAGCCATCGCAGGACGGGAGGACGTAAATTGGTGGAATGAGCTCGTTAGCCGTAATTAGGAGCCATTAATGGTTGATAAGGCAGCACATGTTCACCTGTCACAACCAATCCTGCTCCGGCTCAGAGAGAACGCTGCAGAGTCACGCTTGTCATAAAACGTTGAATAATGACACGCGTGAGTAATGAGCATCGGTCGTGTTAAGAGACGTGAGTGTTGTACTCAATTAGGATTCTCAGTGGATTACACTGTGCAGCTCAAGCAAGCATTGATATCTGAGACCATGGCTGGATATACTATGTTCAACTTATAATGCTTTTTTAAATGTAAAATAAGAAAGATCCAGAAGCCTTTAAGAGGATCTGTGGAGATGCATCAATCTGTTACACTTTAAAGTGGACCTATCATGCTATATTTGAATAATATAGTGTAACCCATACGTATATAAGGCATATTTATACTTTTTTCTTTTCAAAATACCAAACAGATCATGCATTTTAGCCATGCCTCATTTCGCTCAATTTGACATTTTTTAGCTCTGTTTTAGCAAGGGCTGATTCTGTGAGAACAGCACCACCTACAGGCCTGGCATATGTACTACAGCGTCTCCAGCGCTTTCGAACGGCAATGGCCGTGGCTGTCTCCTCCTGATTGGTGGAGTTGGCCCAATAGCCGTAGCGCCACCGTCCTGACGTCAGGACAGTGTTCAAATCTGGATCAGTTTTTATCAGATCCGTTGCAGCCCCTTTTTTAGAGATTTGGGTATGGAGGAAAATAGAGAGGGTTGTGTTTTCTGACACTTGGTGAGTTCCCTGGAACACCGGGGACACATATTCATGTAGAAAAGACGTACACACGTGCATTTTGCATGATAGGTCCCCTTTAAGAGAAAAACAGGCTAACCCACAAACACAAGGTGATCATCAGATGTACCAGATGTTCAGAACTAACGTCCATCACTCTGTTTTCTGCTACACTCAGAGTCTATCATCTCTCAGAGCGGATTCAGGTCAGAGCATATTAGTGGCGTTGGCCGGGGGGGGGGGATTGGGGGGGGGGGGAGATGAAAGAAAAGACTCACTTTGAGGTTTAACATCGTGAAGCAGCTTTCCATCTGCAAAGACAGAGAGATAGACAAAGAGGAGAGAAAGTGGTGATTAAAGTCCGAGCGTCTGTCAGGTGACGAACAGAGTTTTTTCTGAGCTGACGGCAGGGTTTAAGATCTCTGATAATGACCGGCACCATTACTGGAAGATAACTGGTGCAGATCAAGGAGGGGAGTATGATCACGCCATTCTCTTTTTAAGGAGGATGAAATAATTGTAAAGGTTCAGACGTTTTACGAGTGAGGAAATAATCATTAAAAAGTAGAAAAGTTTCAGACTTTTTCAAATGCATATGATGGGAACTAGTGGAAGACGGATACATCTGAGCTAGCGAGGCGGATGTTATATATATTTTATATATTAAGAGCCTGTGTGTTTACGACAGACATGAGGAATTTAATGTGTGTTATTTTGAATCCAAGAGATGCTGACTTGAAACCGTTGTTTTACGAAAGGTTTGGAGGAGAGGAGAGTTTGTTCCAAAGCTGCTGAGTAAAGGATGTGTGTACTTTACCATCTCTGTTGTGATGATGATAATGATGATGGTGATGGTGCTGCAGGAGGAAGGATCGGTGTGTGTGTGTTGTGTGTGTGTGTGTGTTGTGTGTGTGTGTGTGTGTGTGTGTGTGTGTGTGTGTGTGTGTGTGTGTGTGTGTGTGTGTGTGTGTGTGTGTGTGTGTGTGTGTGAAGCTCTTACTCTGAGTGCAGAGTCCCTCGGTGCAGTTCTCCGTCTCCTCGCTGTTCCCCTCGCAGCTCCTGCCTTGGTGTCGGGGGGGTGGAGAGGTGCACGCCCTCTGTCGTTGCTTCTCACACTGAGTGTTGCACACCGCCCACTCGCTCCACACCTCCCAGCCTCCGTCCACTGCAGGAGGACAAGGAGAGAGAGGGGACATATGTGTGTGAAGGACATTCCTAAAGGTCACCTATTATGCAAAATCAGGGCTGAAACAGAGGGGATTATGGGATGCTGCAATGATCTGTTTGGTGTTTCAGCCAATCAGAGACAGGCTCTGTATATCTGAGACCTGTGATATATTGATGAGAGACAGTATAATAGGGGACCTTTAATAGAACTGATAAATGGACAAAGTTTGTCTTTTGTTATATTTAATAAAGTAATAAAGAAAGTCAATATAAAAGTCCTCCTCCCTGGAATAAATATATTATTCTGACTTGAAAATATGTATTTCATCCTCACGTCCATTTGTGAAGTACGAACCTGATTAGCCTAGCTTAGCACGATGACATAAAAGATGTTCATTTACTTTACCATATTGTTATATATTACTGCATATATTTCCCCAAATGTCCAACTGTTTCTTTGAGATAACGATATTTCCCTCCAAATTTCCAACAAATACCAAACAGTATCATCCTCTTTGTGGCTGCGCTGTCTCAGCTGTCATATTGCTGCTATATTTACACACATTACACATTTAAATGTTTCCTTAGGGGGCAAACACACACTGGTGCAACTTGCCGGATATTTTCTCCCCATCACCACCGGGCCTGTTTGCATAATGGGATTTGATGCGAGGTTGTGAAATGGAGATCTTCTGGTGAATGCTAATATCTGGAACTCCTGTCATCTGATCAGAAACAGCTCATCATGCTCAGTTTAGCAAACACAGGGACACCATATGGCGCCTCGAGATTTTCTGGCAGTGATGCATCGTGGGCGGCGGGGGAAAGGTAATTTTCCTTTGTGAGGAGCTAGTTACACTTTTCTTTGTGGCTTCTTCACAGCTACTTGAAATGCTAATGATGTGTTTGTGTTGACCGCTGCTGAGAGGATTTTTCTCTCCATACTTGTTGACTGCTGCTAAACACTAGAGTCTGACAAAGAGCTGCAGGAATGAGTCCTGAAACCAGGAAGGGAATCAGCAATTCTGTCTGTGTTTCAGGTTGTTATCCTGAAATAAGGTCTGTGGTTAACACAAGCTGAAGAGATTTTAACATGTTGTTCTACGACATAAAATACGTCAGTAAATACCCCGCTGGTGGATTTAAAAAGGTTGCTAACAAGTGTCTAAATGAGAAATGAGACGACTAAACGTCATCACGCCCAACATTAGCCACCTTTAGCTTAGCGGTGGTGAGGTGAAGTCATGTGACCGTGCTGTAGTTCCTTTATAGCCCAACATTAGCCTCCTTTAGCTTAGCGGTGGTGACGTGAAGTCATGTGACCGTGCTGTAGTTCCTTTATAGCCCAACATTAGCCATCTTTAGCTTAGCGGTGGTGACGTGAAGTCATGTGACCGTGCTGTAGTTCCTCTATAGCCCAACATTAGCCACCTTTAGCTTAGCGGTGGTGACGTGAAGTCATGTGACCGTGCTGTAGTTCCTTTATAGCCCAACATTAGCCACCTTTAGCTTAGCGGTGGTGACGTGAAGTCATGTGACCGTGCTGTAGTTCCTTTATAGCCCAACATTAGCCACCTTTAGCTTAGCGGTGGTGACGTGAAGTCATGTGACCGTGCTGTAGTTCCTTAATAGCCCAACATTAGCCGCCTTTAGCTTAGCGGTGGTGACGTGAAGTCATGTGACCGTGCTGTAGTTCCTTTATAGCCCAACATTAGCCACCTTTAGCTTAGCGGTGGTGACGTGAAGTCATGTGACCGTGCTGTAGTTCCTTTATAGCCCAACATTAGCCACCTTTAGCTTAGCGGTGGTGACGTGAAGTCATGTGACCGTGCTGTAGTTCCTTAATAGCCCAACATTAGCCGCCTTTAGCTTAGCGGTGGTGACGTGAAGTCATGTGACCGTGCTGTAGTTCCTAAGTTCTATAGCACATGTTATTGTAACTTTAAAGCTTTGTAGATACTTTTCGAGTATTCAAGCTTCATTATTTTACTTCCTGCTCGCTGAATTCTTCATGTGTGGTTTCTTAAATTGGCTCCTCGTTAATTTGTTTTGGTGATATTTTAGCAGCTGAGGAACTTTGTGATTTTCTAACTAAAAGGACGTTTATATACTTAGTGAGTATTTTCTGTTTTAATTATTCCAGATATAACACGATATGTTCACACATGCAGAGAGGAGAGCATTAATGCATGCTAAAAGTGTCCCTGAAGCTTCTCTGAAACATCTCACCCTCCACAAAGAGCCTTTATTTGTCGTCTCGCGCAATTAACCTAAATTAAGATGCATTCCTTTCACCACTTACAGTAACAACAATGTGCTTCACACACAGAGCATGTGTTAACACTTCATTATTATAATGCAGGAAAATGTGTTCTATTTTCAGGTGTAAAACATGTTTTGTATAGAGGGGATTATAAAGCTGAACATCTGTCTCTGTCTCAGAGTTAGTCGTCTCATAACTGTCAGTGTTTGTCAGGATATCTGAAATGACTAGGTTAGCTACGTTAGCTAGCTAGCTCACAGCAGATCTGCAGTAACATCTGAAGGAGTCATGTGATCACATTGTTCAAAATAAGACCATTAAACATTTCAGGTAAATTTCCAACAACAGAGACAGTTGTCCAGCTTTATAATCCTGAACGTCACCAAGCGCTCCGTCCCAGCTGTGTGCGTCACTCTTTAGTGTCCCCTGGTCTCCCAGCTGTGTGCGTCACTCTTTAGTGTCCCCTGGTCTCCCAGCTGTGTGCGTCACTCTTTAGTGTCCCCTGGTCTCCCAGCTGTGTGCGTCACTCTTTAGTGTCCCCTGGTCTCCCAGCTGTGTGCGTCACTCTTTAGTGTCCCCTGGTCTCTAGCTGTGTGCGTCACTCTTTAGTGTCCCCTGGTCTCCAGCTGTGTGCGTCACTCTTTATGTCCCCTGGTCTCCCAGCTGTGTGCGTCACTCTTTAGTGTCCCCTGGTCTCCAGCTGTGTGCGTCACTCTTTATGTCCCCTGGTCTCCAGCTGTGTGCGTCACTCTTTAGTGTCCCCTGGTCTCCCAGCTGTGTGTGTCACTCTTTAGTGTCCCCTGGTCTCCCAGCTGTGTGTGTCACTCTTTCTCCTCAAGGTGCTGAATGTTCTTTAAATGCTGCATGCGTTGTCAAGTTGCTGGAGATGTTTCTTCATGTGGAACCTTTGGGTTTTTATATCTGCATCGTTGCTCAAGCTGCAGAACGTTTCTCTTAATGGAAGAGTTTTGGAACGTTGTAGCGCGTTTGTTGGCCACCGTACTTTTCGCAGTTTTGAGTTTTTCCATTCGTGGGGGCATGAGAACTTTTCTGCATTAATTCTAGGTGAGTAACTTTCCTCCATGCAGCAGTTCCCTCTTTGCTCCACCAGTAGCTCAGCAGTTCCCTCTTTGCTCCACCAGTAGCTCAGCAGTTCCCTCTTTGCTCCACCAGTAGCTCAGCAGTTCCCTCTTTGCTCCACCAGTAGCTCAGCAGTTCCCTCTTTGCTCCACCAGTAGCTCAGCAGTTCCCTCTTTGCTCCACCAGTAGCTCACAGATATGTGGTCAGAAAGAACCCCTTTAAATATTGGCGCCAGATAAATATCCAACATGTTCGTTAAGTATGCTTAGACTAACTCCCACTGTACATTTTACATTTGTAATCAATTTAATATTTAATAATCCATTCCTGGCACAATATATATAACTTATAAATATATGACTTTAGTATCTGTACATTGAGTGAAGTATTTCTGCAGTGACACTCACCTGGGCAGAGGGCGTTGCAGGTGATCTTCTGCACGGACATGCCCTCGCAGAACGCCCCCCCGTTGAGAGGCGCCGGGTTAGTGCAGGTTCGAGACCTCTTTTGCACCCCCCGGCCACACGGCACGTTGCAGGGAGACCAATCTGTCCACAGAGACCATCCGCCGTTCACTGCAGAGAGAGAGGAGAGAGAGGGCAGAGGAGTATAAGAGTTAAATAAGTTGTTTGAAAACTCTCCCTGGTCCCCGGCTTGAGCTTCAATCTCAGGATCCATGTATCTGTGATCCTCTCCAGAATGGAAGTAGTCATCACATACAGAGCATCAACTAGTTCCTGAACAGTGTCCTTCACATGCTGATATCCAAGAGAGGGAGTTACACAGTCACAAGATGGAGGAATAGAAAGCAGTATTCAATGTTTACTTCAGATTAGCTCCACATCAGAAATGAGCATGCTTGTCATATGTCTATCTCCATAGAGGCTGAATCATCATGTTAATCACATAGCTATCATATGCCTCAAACAGTCCTGATGCTCTTCTAGGTAATCACACATCCTGTCATGTTCACAGCTACAGTTGGGATACCTTTGTTAGCATGTTACTCTCATGTTGGAAGAGGACATTCACTATTTTCCCAACATAAGTATGAGAGTAGAGTGGCGCAGGGATGTGGTATTTCTGTATTGGTCCCTGAAGGCAGCATCTCCTGGTCCAATGGGATTTCTCCATGTGATTTTGGATTATGTCAGATAATAATCTCTGCGTCAAACAAACGTTTATGATTCTTACACGTTTAGTTCAGCAGGGTAATCTCCACATGTTAACACCAGCTTGGCGAATAATGAAAAACGTATGCAGCAGCACTTTAATGATAACATAACAGAAAACTACGGAAGAGGATTTGGGCCACATGTTTTTGGGAGATGTTAAAAAAAATGCCAGAATGTTGAGAATAATATTATTAAATTATTTTTTTACTTTTCCTAAAATTCTGACTATTTTTATCAAACCAAAAACAAAAATAACTTTTCGTCAAATCTCAAAAAACCCTCTCCCATGTGGCCCAAATCCTCTTCCGTAGGTAAAAAATGATAAATTTGCAAAATTAATATGAATTCAATAGCTGATACCAAACGTTAATTTCAATATATATGAAAAAACACCCAAAAAATTACAAATATAAGAACAAAAAAGGAAATATGATAGTGAGAAATATCCACGTATGAGTGTATATATGGGAAAGCAGTTATAACAAAAGCAGATAAATGGACTTTTAGGCATTTTTTTTAGCTTTTTATAGAGAAAAAAGGTATTTTGATATGTGCGGAAAGTAGGGCTGCACAATATATCGTGTCGTGACTATAATCGCGATATGCGATATGCGCATTCACATTGCAGGACGTGCGATATTAAGTAGGCAAATGAACTCAAACACGTCATGTTACAATTATTTTGCTGCTTGCTACAAAAGGAAAACTTGCGCGGCTCTCATGTCAGGGGTCCTTGAGTGAGTGACGTGCAGGCTCTGTCAGCAATCCACCAATTTTTTTAATTTTTTTAAATAATACTATTGGCCAAAACCAAGTCGTATTTATCTTTTAATGACTTAGAAAGGGTTATTAACGCCTTTGTGACCTCAAGACTGGACTATTGCAGCTAGTCCAAAACGCGGCTGCACGTTTGCTGACTGGTCACAAAAAGCGTGACCACATCACCCCTATTCTGGCCTCACTACACTGGCTTCCAGTTCGGTTCAGAATTGATTTTAAAATCCTTCTATTTGTTTTTAAAGCACTAAATGGGCTGGCTCCGGCCTATATAGCTGAACTCCTCCAGCGCTACACCCCAGCCAGAGCTTTAAGGTCTGCTGACCAGCTGCTAGTGGTAGTGCCCAAGACCAGGCTTAAAACCCGAGGGCACCGAGCCTTCGCAGCAGCTGGCCCTAGGCTCTGGAACACTCTGCCCCTCCATGTGAGGTCGGCCCAGACCCTAAGGGTTTTTAAATCAAACTAAAAACACACTTCTTCTCTCTGGCCTTCTAGTTAGAGCGGAGCACGACTCCTGACTTTTCCTTGTGTTTTTATTTTTATTTTTTATATATATCTGTTGTAATTTATTGTCTTTTATTGTGATTGTAGTAATGTGTTTTTATTACATGTACAGCACTTTGGCTCGACCAAAAATCGCTTTTAAATGTGCTTTATAAATAAAACTTGATTTGATTTGATTTGACCAATCACAATCAAATCTCCAAAGCAAACGGACCCGGTGATTAAAGGTAAAAACACTGAATGAAGTAGTTTCATGTGTTTCTCCAGTTCGGCGCTGCTAACCGAGCTAGCTCAGCTTGTTGCTCTGATAACTTCAGATCCAGACGTCCGTGACTAAAATCCTTCATCCGGTTAAATATACTTCGAAAAATACCAATTGTATAGCATTAAAGTCCAAGAAAAAACGGTCTTTTCTTCAATTCCTGTATTTTTTCATATCGCAGGGGGAAAAAATATCGCAATGTCAGTTTTTTCCAATATCGTGCAGCCCTAGCGGACAGTCATTCTATATTTAACTGATTTAATATAACTCCTGATTTGTGCTCAGGAAAGTAATTGTGCTTGAGAAATTCACTTGAGTTGAGAGAAGGATTGTTAATGCAGTTAGTACACACCATAGTTTACTCACACGCTGTTTACACGCCTCTTCACATCACTGTGTTTGGTTTCTACACCAGTGATTAACACACCCATCGCCCTCTTTATTCCAACACATGTATTATTCACTGACTCAATTTACTGCCTCTCATTTCAAATCAATGTGTACTTTATGAAGGGAAATAAGCCACTGTGTCTTAATCTCATTGAAAAGGAGTGTTGCTTATTAAGTATTTATCAGCCAGAGGCCCGGCAGGAACATTTAGCTTCCAGACAGATCAGAGAGGAAACTGGAAACTGCTTCTTACACCGAGTACACATACAAATAACACTATTGTGATGCCAGACAGGAAGTACACACTAAAGGGAACAGCAGAAGAAGACAGGAAGTAAACACTAAAGGGAACAGCAGAAGAAGACAGACAGGAAGTAAACACTAAAGGGAACAGCAGAAGAAGACAGGAAGTAAACACTAAAGGGAACAGCAGAAGAAGACAGACAGGAAGTAAACACTAAAGGGAACAGCAGAAGAAGACAGGAAGTAAACACTAAAGGGAACAGCAGAAGAAGACAGACAGGAAGTAAACACTAAAGGGAACAGCAGAAGAAGACAGACAGGAAGTAAACACTAAAGGGAACAGCAGGAGAAGACAGACAGGAAGTAAACACTAAAGGGAACAGCAGGAGACAGACAGGAAGTACACACTAAAGGGAACAGCAGAAGAAGACAGACAGGAAGTAAACACTAAAGGGAACAGCAGAAGAAGACAGGAAGTAAACACTAAAGGGAACAGCAGAAGAAGACAGACAGGAAGTAAACACTAAAGGGAACAGCAGAAGAAGACAGGAAGTAAACACTAAAGGGAACAGCAGAAGAAGACAGACAGGAAGTAAACACTAAAGGGAACAGCAGAAGAAGACAGGAAGTAAACACTAAAGGGAACAGCAGAAGAAGACAGACAGGAAGTAAACACTAAAGGGAACAGCAGAAGAAGACAGGAAGTAAACACTAAAGGGAACAGCAGAAGAAGACAGACAGGAAGTAAACACTAAAGGGAACAGCAGAAGAAGACAGACAGGAAGTAAACACTAAAGGGAACAGCAGGAGAAGACAGACAGGAAGTAAACACTAAAGGGAACAGCAGGAGACAGACAGGAAGTACACACTAAAGGGAACAGCAGAAGAAGACAGACAGGAAGTAAACACTAAAGGGAACAGCAGGAGACAGACAGGAAGTAAACACTAAAGGGAACAGCAGGAGACAGACAGGAAGTAAACACTAAAGGGAACAGCAGAAGAAGACAGACAGACAGGAAGTAAACACTAAAGGGAACAGCAGAAGAAGAAAGACAGACAGGAAGTAAACACTAAAGGGAACAGCAGAAGAAGAAAGACAGACAGGAAGTAAACACTAAAGGGAACAGCAGAAGAAGACAGGAAGTAAACATTAAAGGGAACAGCAGAAGAAGACAGACAGGAAGTAAACACTAAAGGGAACAGCAGAAGAAGAAAGACAGACAGGAAGTAAACACTAAAGGGAACAGCAGAAGACAGACAGGAAGTAAACACTAAAGGGAACCGCAGAAGAAGACAAACATGACTTCTACTTTTACCAGAGTATTTTTAAACGTGAGTATCTGTACTTCTACTTGAGTAAAGGATGTGTGTACTTTGCCCTCTCTGCTGTTATATATATTGAACGTAGTGACAGCGTACCGAACACGATGACGTTGGCGGTGGCGCTTCTTCTCTTGGACACGATGTTGTTGGCTATGCAGGTGTAGTTCCCCGAGTCGGAGAGCCGCGCCTCGTTGATTATCAGGTTGTGGTCGGCTCGCGTGTCGATGTTGTCGTCGGTCAGAGAGCTCAGCACCTCGTCGTTTTTCAGCCATTCCACCTGCAAGAGAAACTGATTGATGATTCATGGACAAAGCTTCAAAGTCATTTGCTTTAAAGGGGACCTATCATGCAAAATGCACTTTTGTACGTCTTTTCTACATGAATATGTGTCCCCGGTGTTCCAGGGAACTCACCAAATGTCAGAAAACACAACCCTCTCTATTTTCCTCCATACCCAAATCTCTAAAAAAGGGGCTGCAACGGATCTGATAAAAACTGATCCAGATTTGAACACTGTCCTGACGTCAGGACGGTGGCGCCACGGCTATTGGGCCAACTCCACCAATCAGGAGGAGACAGCCACGGCCATTGCTGTTCGAAAGCGCTGGAGACGCTGTAGTACATATGCCAGGCCTGTAGATGGTGCTGTTCTCACTGAATCTGCCCTTATGAGAAATGAGGCATGGCTAAAATGCATGATCTGTTTGGTATTTTGAAAAAAAAAAAAGTATAAATATGCCTTATATAGGTATGGTCCTACACTATATTATTCAAATATAGCATGATAGGTCCACTTTAACTACAATCCTGTTCAGAGTATTTATGATAGCAGTCAGATAACTACCTCAAGAATAGAATAGAATATAAGCATGTATTATACATTATACAACGACAAGAGTATTCCTTGTTCTTGTATTTTAATAAGTTATTTTATATCTCGGGACACATTTTGATCTTTCTGTGTACAATCATATTTTGAGATTGACAATAAAGTTGACTTTGACTTTGTAAAGCTACTCCTTTTAAGGTGCCATCGAAACATTCAGAATAGACAACCAACAAGCAAGACACGCAGCATTCATACATACATAAAATAACTAAATCAAGTGCATGGAATAACACTCTGTGGTTGTATTCCTGTACAGTTCTCGAGTGTGGAAGGAATACTTAAGAGAAACTGATGAATGATTCATGGACAAAGTCTGTCTTTTTTTATATTTAATAAAGTAATAAAGAAAGTCAATAAACAAGTGAAATGGATCTGAAATGCAGGAACAGAGCAACTTGATCCTCGGAGGAGAAAGAAGTTCTGCTTACAGTCTCTCTATACATTCATGAGAGGAAACAACTGGTCCTATTTGAACACGATCCGTGTATCCATCATTTCCTGGTCTTCTCTAAAGAAGAGGGACCAATGAAAACGTTGTCATGTTGCCGTTGTTCAGCATGGAAACATTCATTAGCTAACAATGACATTATTGTTCTATTAATATAAAGGGAGGTCAGGTACTCTTTAAAACAGCTGCTAGTTATGGGTACTTTTTACTGAAGTACATTTCAAAGCCCTCTTTACTTTGACTTGAGTAAAGAAGTTTAGTCAGTACTTCTACTTTCACCAGAGTATTTTAAAACACGAGTATCTGTACTTCTACTTGAGTAAAGGGTGTGTGTACTTTCGCGTCTCTTTCAATGCACCCCCCAGCTGTATGACCCCAACCCAGAAGCCTTTAGACAGTCAACAGAAGCACTTTAACCAATCACCAGCAACAGAGAGCAAAGTCATTATAAATTACAAACTTAGGGACGCTTTAGTGCTTCTTCTGGTTCGAGAGCTGCATCGCTGCCTCTGCAAATTATGCTGAGTGTGTTCGGCTGGTGGATTTATAGGAAACCCGCTTCATAACCAACTCCTTCTGGATGCTAATAGGAAGAGTCTGGGGGATGCAATTCTATCTGATATTTCATAATCCATTCCTTGCACAATTAATGTATAAAATCCTGCTTCATATTTGTTACTGTAATAGTGTATATCTTCCACATGTATATTCTTTACTTTTTTAATGCTATTTTATTTCTATTTGAGACGTTTACATTTTGGATTGTTTATTTCTAGTCTTTTTCATTTGTGTACAATGCCTTGTCTTTCTGAGCTGCTGCAACGCAAACATCTCCCTCATTGGGATCAATAAAGTACTTCTTATCTTAAAGGTCCCCTATTATTTAAAATCCTCTTCTTCATGTCTCTTCTACATCAACATGTGTCCCCTCTTCTTCATGTCTCTTCTTCATCAACATGTGTCCCCTCTTCTTCATGTCTCTTCTACATCAACATGTGTCCCCTCTTCTTCATGTCTCTTCTACATCAACATGTGTCCCCTCTTCTTCATGTCTCTTCTACATCAACATGTGTCCCCTCTTCTTCATGTCTCTTCTACATCAACATGTGTCCCCCTCTTCTTCATGTCTCTTCTACATCAACATGTGTCCCCTCTTCTTCATGTCTCTTCTTCATCAACATGTGTCCCCTCTTCTTCATGTCTCTTCTTCATCAACATGTGTCCCCTCTTCTTCATGTCTCTTCTACATCAACATGTGTCCCCTCTTCTTCATGTCTCTTCTACATCAACATGTGTCCCCTCTTCTTCATGTCTCTTCTTCATCAACATGTGTCCCCTCTTCTTCATGTCTCTTCTACATCAACATGTGTCCCCTCTTCTTCATGTCTCTTCTACATCAACATGTGTCCCCTCTTCTTCATGTCTCTTCTACATCAACATGTGTCCCCTCTTCTTCATGTCTCTTCTTCATCAACATGTGTCCCCTCTTCTTCATGTCTCTTCTACATCAACATGTGTCCCCTCTTCTTCATGTCTCTTCTTCATCAACATGTGTCCCCTCTTCTTCATGTCTCTTCTACATCAACATGTGTCCCCTCTTCTTCACGTCTCTTCTACATCAACATGTGTCCCCTCTTCTTCATGTCTCTTCTACATCAACATGTGTCCCCTCTTCTTCATGTCTCTTCTACATCAACATGTGTCCCCTCTTCTTCATGTCTCTTCTACATCAACATGTGTCCCCTCTTCTTCATGTCTCTTCTTCATCAACATGTGTCCCCTCTTCTTCATGTCTCTTCTACATCAACATGTGTCCCCTCTTCTTCATGTCTCTTCTTCATCAACATGTGTCCCCTCTTCTTCATGTCTCTTCTACATCAACATGTGTCCCCTCTTCTTCACGTCTCTTCTACATCAACATGTGTCCCCTCTTCTTCATGTCTCTTCTACATCAACATGTGTCCCCTCTTCTTCACGTCTCTTCTACATCAACATGTGTCCCCTCTTCTTCATGTCTCTTCTTCATCAACATGTGTCCCCTCTTCTTCATGTCTCTTCTACATCAACATGTGTCCCCTCTTCTTCATGTCTCTTCTACATCAACATGTGTCCCCTCTTCTTCACGTCTCTTCTACATCAACATGTGTCCCCTCTTCTTCATGTCTCTTCTACATCAACATGTGTCCCCTCTTCTTCATGTCTCTTCTACATCAACATGTGTCCCCTCTTCTTCATGTCTCTTCTACATCAACATGTGTCCCCTCTTCTTCATGTCTCTTCTACATCAACATGTGTCCCCTCTTCTTCATGTCTCTTCTACAGAGGGGACACGTGTCTCTTCTACATCACCATGAGGTGAGGTGCAGGTGATGTCTGCAGTTTGCTTTTCAAACTGGGACAAGAAAACAGCGGAGAAGTAACGGGGCAGAAACCCTCCTTTTTAGGCAGCGGTCCAGACATAGACATCAAACGGCAAAACATATTCAGTGAGCAGTTCCTTTGGCGTTCGGGCTGGGATCAGCTGTCGGGTGTTCTTCCCCATAATGGGTAAAGAACACCCGACAGGCTGCACATTATCCCTTTCGTAACACAGACTGTCAAATACTCAGATACTCAAAACTCAATTACTCCCACTACTTAAATTATCCCAGGGTTCATTGGGTTGAGTTGCTCCATTTTAGAATTAAATAAATAAAAGCTTAAAAGAAAATACATATAAATACAACTATATATACAATATATATTATATATAAATAACAGCAAATAAAATAAAATGACAACAAAAAAAAAGGAAAGAAAAACAAAAACAATAAATATAGAACTCAAATGTAAATACAAATGTGCATAAAAACATAAAAAAAAACTAAATATAAATATTTATATAAACATAAATCAAGTTAAAATGTCCAATTGCTTTTGAAAATAATTAAAATATATACAGGAGGGACAGATACAGATGATCAATGAGTGTGTGGAGGATGTGAGGAATGATTCGGCTAATTGGCACATTCGTTTCAATTAGGACGATGTCATCAGTGTTAGCCCTGACATAACGAGGGGGGGGGGGGGGGGGGGGGGTCTTTTGATTTTATTACCCAGAATGCCCCTGAAGGTTACCCCCTCCTGCCCTGAACAGCGCCCAGGTCCTCTACTCCACACACACACACACACACACACACACACACACACACACACACACACACACACACACACACACACACACACACACACACACACACACACACACACACACACACACACACACACACACACACACACACAGCCTTGTTCTGTTTTGTTTTATGCTGCTGCAACTAAAACATTTCCCAAATTGGGATTAATAAAGTACATCTTATCGTGTCTTATCTTTGCAGACCATTTACATGCATCAAAAACCCTACAGAACACCTCACAGGGAAAGGAAGAACATACATTTAAGAGTAGTAGTTAAGGTGGTATTTTGGAATGTTAAGGAGTTAAGGAGGTATTTTGTGAGTTAAGGTGGTATTTTGTGAGTTAAGGAGGTATTTTTGAGAGTTAAGGTGGTATTTTGTGAGTTAAGGAGGTATTTTGAGAGTTAAGGTGGTATTTTTGTGAGTTAAGGTGGTATTTTGTGAGTTAAGGAGGTATTTTGAGAGTTAAGGAGGTATTTTTGAGAGTTAAGGTGGTATTTTGTGAGTTAAGGAGGTATTTTTGAGAGTTAAGGTGGTATTTTTGTGAGTTAAGGAGGTATTTTGAGAGTTAAGGTGGTATTTTGTGAGTTAAGGAGGTATTTTCGAGAGTTAGGGTGGTAGTTCGGGAGTTAAGGGGTGTATTTTTGAGAGTCGCTGATCAGAGGGACTCATCTAGGATTAAAGGCTTTCATTGAGGGAATCTGGAATTGGTTTCGTTGTTCATTTCACACTTTCTCTCTGAGTCACCGCTCAAAAGAAACTCATTATAGCGACGACTCATGGGCGGATTTTTCTCCTCTTGAGTTAAAAAGATCCGCTCAGCATTCACACCTGTGATATCTGTGAAGGGAGAGTGGGGGGTTGATCCTGGAAGTGGAACTACAAAAAGCCCGTCCTATACGTTTTATTAACTAAAAAGGTAAATTACACTCTGAGTTTCTGTATTTGTGAGAAGCTAAATGTGAATAAAGATGTATTTATTTAGCTTATTAACCGTTGAATTGCATTAAATGTAAATCCTGATTACGTTTGCCTGCCAAATAAATGTTTTGAAAACGCATTTAAAGCACACAGTACTTTTTTTATAGAAATAAATTCACATTTTGAGGTAAATTAAAGCCAAGAACAAATCTGCATACATCTTTAACCCTTGTCTTCCAATCAACTGTTGTCCTACCTTTGACCTACCTAAAGTGTAAAGTGTTAATAATCATCCAAATCTATGTTATACCTTTTAAACCATGTCATTTTGACCACATGTTGTCTCTGATGTTGTGTAAATGGAGCTTTGGACCATCATAACAAATAAAAAAAAGCTAATTTCTGAGATAGAAAACACTTTTCTTTGTTCAAAAGAATTTACAAATTGACCCCAGAAGACCATAGATTCTATACATTTCAATAAAACCAAAAACCTAATGAGAGTGATCATTATTGAAACGTAGTATACTGTACAAGAAACTATGTTATTTTTCTGCCACTGACATTAAATCAACCTTTATCCCAACAGAAAAACATTTGGGAACGGGTCAAATTTGACTGGAGGAAAACAGGAAGGTTATAACAGTCTCTGTGTTAAAAGAGAAAACCACCAGTTAAACCATCCATTCCCGAACGTCCTATTAATACACGAGTTGGACTTGTAGAAAACAACTAAGAGGTGTTCTAATGAAACATTATAAATCTTTGAACACTAACCAGTGTGGGGAATTACAGTACTTTACATATATCACCTTGGTTCTTGAAATTACTAGATTTATTCACATGTAAGGTTTCACAAATCATAGAAACCTTAGTGTGGGAGTGTAGCGGTCTGAGAAACGTTGATGTTTGGATGTTCATTTGTTTGCCTTTCTTATCAATTTATGATTTATGATTTTGTAAGTTTGAGTGTAATTAGACAATTGTAAAATGTAGAGTATTATCTGGATAGCGAAATGTAGAATGTTTCATATTTGGGATGTGGTCGGTGAGTCACATGACCACAGTCAGGTCAGAGGGCATTGCCATGGCAACAACATGGTATTTTAGAGAGTTAAGGAGGTATTTTGTGAGTTAAGAAGGTATTTTGAGGTTATAACAGTCTAAGTGTTAAAAGAGAAAACCAACCAACATGCAATCAACCAAAAAGTGCATTAGCTTTCAAAAAGTCAAACATTCATAAGTGCTGATGCACAGCCTCCGAATAACAACAACATTTATAAGAGATAAGTGCAGTTTGTTTTTGGGACGAGGTGCAGTCAGCAATCTGATACCTAATTTACTTAAAAAACTGAGGTAAGCAGCAGAAAAACCTGTCAGAGCTTCAGTTTATGGAAGATAATTGGACGGAGAGTAAACTGTCAGAAACGTTTTCACTGCTGCACCTCCGTGGAGATTTCTGCTAAAGTTAACTGATGAAACCTCAGAAACTGCAAACTGATTCGGACTCATTAACGCTCTCTGACTTCACGCTGACGCAGTGATTTCAGAGTGCTATATTGGAGAGTTAAGATGGTATTTTGGAGAGTTAAGGTGGTATTTTGTAAGTTAAGAAATGACATCATGCTGAAAGACTTGTCGGGGGTAAATATAACTTTAAAATGTTTCCAAAGTGTGCACGCTCTTCTCCAAATGTATTCATCTCCTTCCATATGTGGGGCATTATACCACCTCGAACAATGGACAGGAGGTAGATGTGTGTGTGGGACAGATTTAAGTGGAGGTCAACCTGCAGACCCTTAATGTTTAAATGATTTAACGTGGAAATGGAGGAGTGATGTCGGGTTAAAAATAGTTATAGGCTGAAGCAAAACCTCTTTCTACTCCTAAGTCCAAACAAAGCAGCGCAGCGTGAGAGAGGGGGGGTGAATAATGCAGAGAAATGGATGAAATATTGAGGCGTGTTTCAGCTGCAGGATGTATGTCCAGAAATCACTGCATCAGCATAAAGTCAGCGAGCGTTAATGAATCCACCTAACCCACTTAACCTTAACCCACTTAACTCTCCAAAATACATCCTTAACTCACAAAATACCATCTTAACTCACAAAATACCATCTTAACTTTGTAAATACCACCTTAACTCACAAAATACCATCTTAACTCTCGTAATACCTCCTTAACTCACAAAATACCATCTTAACTAAAAGAAATACCACCTTAACTCTCCAAAATACCTCCTTAATATTATATTATATAATATACTGAGTGACTGAGGGTTTGAATATCCTATGTTTAATAATTCAACATGCTATGTGTCATTTTCATTTGATCAAAAAGAATAGAATACAAAATTCAATTTAAGAGTAGCAGTTAAGGTGGTATTTTGTGAGTTAAGGTGGTATTTTTAAGAGTTAAGGTGATATTTAGAGAGTTAAGGTGCTATTTTTGGAGAGTTAAGGTGCTACTTTTGAATGTTTTTATCACAAAGAAAGATAAAGAAATTTAAATTTAAAGGTGGGGTAGGTACATTTGAGAAACAGGCTCGAGATACACTTTTTGTTATATTCCATGGAATGCTCTTAACATCCCGATAGCAATGAATATCTTAAGTGCTTTGACAAAAAATCCATACAAACATGTCATCAGTGGAAGCCGTAGTACTGTAAAAAGCACGACCAATCATCTGAGCCGGCCCGGCTAAAATAACTGGATGGCCTACCTGCCTGTCAGCCTTCCATCTGTGCACAAACTTATCTCGTGCCCTCATTGGTCATGTGCGCGTTCGTGTGTGTTGGAGGAGGGGCTCTGTGAGGAAGTGGCAGATTTTCTCCGGTTGTGTATTTTCAAATTCTAGCGATCTCGAGCCGGTTTCTCCAAAATTACCGACCCCACCTTTAAGAGTAAAATCCAGCGAGAACCCAAAACAGACTGAACTTCTGACGTCTGTATTTAATGACAACCTGCAGGTTATAAATTCTCATTTCTCGTATCCAACACGATTTGAAGTGTCTCTCCAAGAAAGTCCTCAACCTCTCTGAAGCACACCTTCTTCTCAGCTTGTGATCAGTCTTACCTCGGCGACGGGCACCCCCTCCGGAGGGCGGCAGTGCAGAACGATCATCATGTTGATGGGAACCTCCTTCCCCTGGGGGTCCTGCTCAAAGTTCTTCCTCAGGTCTGTGAGGGAGATAAGAGCAGCTGTCAGGTGTCAAGTGTTACGGTCATTCGAACTAAACCCTCCCTACGACCTTCAAAAGCCTCGGGGAGGATCTGTGTTACATAATCTGAGGACAAGGTGGTTCAGAGGATACACCGAGTGGAAAAGTGCAGCAGGAAGTCTCGATCGTCCTGGGGATTCATGTGCAGAGAATAGCTGGAGGAATGAGTGCTCAAACCTGGGTATGACTTAGCATTTCCTGTCCCCTGGTCTGGAGGTCAATGGTTTTCTGAATATGTTTTCGGTTGTTATCATGAAATAAGGTCTGTGGTTAACACAAGCTGGAGAGATTTTTATTCCACAACATAAAATACGTCAGTAAATACCCCACTGGTGAATTTAAAAACAGAGGTTGATAACAAGTGTCTAAATGAGACGACTAAACGTCATCACGCCCAACATTACCCTCCTTTAGCTTAGCGGTGGTGACGTGAAGTCATGTGACCGTGCTGTAGTTCCTTTATAGCCCAACATTAGCCACCTTTAGCTTAGCGGTGGTGACGTGAAGTCATGTAACCGTGCTGTAGTTCCTTTATAGCCCAACATTAGCCTCCTTTAGCTTAGCGGTGGTGACATGAAGTCATGTGACCGTGCTGTAGTTCCTTTATAGCCCAACATTAGCCGCCTTTAGCTTAGCGGTGGTGACGTGAAGTCATGTGACCGTGCTGTAGTTCCTTTATAGCCCAACATTAGCCGCCTTTAGCTTAGCGGTGGTGACGTGAAGTCATGTGACCGTGCTGTAGTTCCTTTATAGCCCAACATTAGCCACCTTTAGCTTAGCGGTGGTGACGTGAAGTCATGTGACCGTGCTGTAGTTCCTTTATAGCCCAACATTAGCCACCTTTAGCTTAGCGGTGGTGACGTGAAGTCATGTGACCGTGCTGTAGTTCCTTTATAGCCCAACATTAGCCACCTTTAGCTTAGCGGTGGTGACGTGAAGTCATGTGACCGTGCAGTAGTTCCTTTATAGCCCAACATTAGCCACCTTTAGCTTAGCGGTGGTGACGTGAAGTCATGTGACCGTGCTGTAGTTCCTTTATAGCCCAACATTAGCCACCTTTAGCTTAGCGGTGGTGACGTGAAGTCATGTGACCGTTAAAATCTCTTTAGCTTTTGTTAACCACAGACCTTATCTCAGCTTAACAACCAAAAACATACTCAACAAACACTGAGAAAGGAACAGGAAGTGCTACAAGTCATTTCAAGGTTTTAAGTCTCTTTGCAGACACCAGCTTCCTTTTGGAAACAAATCCATCTCCTCAGACGAACAGTGTTCTTGCTCAGTTCTTCATATCACCATACTGCAGATCTCATAATCTCTCTGAAACATGGCCCTGATCTCTGAGATGTTTCTGTAAAACTCACAGGCGATGCGGACCGTGGCCTTGCGGCTCTTCGACGTCCCGAGATGGCTCCAGGCGACACAGAGACACCAATAATCCTCGGGGCCGTGGAAATCCTCCACCTGCTGCCTGGACACATTGATCATCACCTCCCGAACCTTCAGCCCTGAGACAACAGAAGAGAGGAGGTTAGAAACTGTATATTACACACTTTTATCCAGAAAGACTTAGAATGAGTGATGAGGAAAAACATTCAGAACAATAAGGAATCCTTTAAGAACATAAGCTAAGTGATTAAGTTGGTATTTTAGAGATAAAACACTTAGTGGAGAGCTTGTACCTGTATTTTTAGAGTGTATAATGTTATTTCAACTTAAAGGGGACCTATCATGCAAAATGCACTTGTGTACGTCTTTTCTACATGAATATGTGTCCCCGGTGTTCCAGGGAACTCACCAAGTGTCAGAAAACACAACCCTCTCTATTTTCCTCCATACCCAAATCTCTAAAAAAGGGGCTGCAACGGATCTGATAAAAACTGATCCAGATTTGAACACTGTCCTGACGTCAGGACGGAGGAGCTGACCTATCAGGGGAATGAGAGGTTGCCGTGGCATGGTAACAGCATGGTAACACGACGCTCGTAACTCGGCCCCCTCCTTTGCAGGGGGGCGTGGTCAGCTGCAGCGCATGCAAAGACAGGGGTGGAGGAGAGCAAAATAGAGCGAAATGAGCTCATGGCTAAAATGCATGATCTGTTTGGTATTTTGAAAAAGAAAACGTATAAATATACCTTATGGCCCTACAATATATTATTCAAATATAGCATGATAGGTCCACTTTAAGTAAAGAGTCTGACGCGAGTTAGGGTTGTATTTTTGTGGTTAAAGTTGTTCTTCTGATTGTTTTTGGAGAGTGAAGGTGGTATCTCCTCAGTTAAATTGGAATTGTTGAGAGTTAAGGAGGTATTTTGGAGAGTTAAGGTGGTATTTTGTGAGATAAGGAGGTATTTTTTGAGGGTTAAGGTGGTCATTTTGAGAGTTAAGGTGGTATGTTGTGAGTTAAGTTGGACATTTAGAGAGTTAAGGTGGAATTTTTAAGAATTAAGATGGTTAAATCGGTTCTTCTGATTGTTTTTGGAAAGTGGAGGTGGTATTTTGTGAGTTAAGGTGGACATTTGGAGAGTTAAGGTGGTATTTTGTGAGTTAAGGAGGTATTTTGGAGACTAAAGGGGGACTTTTGGAGAGTTAAAGGTGGTATTTTGTGAGATAAGGAGGTATTTTTTAAGGGTTAAGGTGGTAATTTTGAGAGTTAAGGTGGTATTTTGTGAGTTAAGTTGGAATTTTGGATAGTTAAGGTGGTATTTTGTGAGTTAAGGTGGACATTTGGAGAGTTAAGGTGGAGCAGAATAATGTTAAGTGCTAGTAATAGATTTTTTTTTTTTATTGGCCAAGGTGCAGTTAAATACACTTTAATGAAAACCTGGTTTCAGGTTTCAGATACCTCGGTTTGAGCCGATGTATATAAACTTTAGGTCCAGTTTGGATTTGGTTTGGTTGGATATTAAAAACTCTGTGTTTCCCTAAGAGCATTTTGAGTTTTGGGTCAATTTTGGGCCATTGTGTTGCGTAACACTTCAGGTTAGATTATTTTCAATGCTGGATGAATGATTTATTATTAATGGTGGCTTCCCAAAAGAACAGCAGCTTAATATGATAACTCTGCAGCCATTTTCATGCATTGAGTTTGACATCACATTCGTCCGATCAGCCGCAGAAGATTTGCAAATGATATCATCAATCAAAGATCATTTATTGTCAACCAAACAGAAGCAGCTTTTAGTTTCGATGCTGTGCAGACGAGTCCTTTGCAAATGGACCTATGAACTACCGTCATTTTCTTTTATGAATTGCCTTTTTTTCATTTCATTTTCTTTATTTTGCCTATGTGAACACAATGTGCTAAACAACCTTAACACATGTGGTGGTTAAAGGGTTTACGCAACAATAACAAGGCGACAGAATTGAGAAAACTGCCATTTTTTGCACCACATATGGAAGGAGATGAATGCATTTGGAGAGGAGCCTGCACATTTTGGAAACATTTAAAAATTATATTTACCCCCGACAAGTCTTCCAGCATGATGCCATTTCTTAATATTATATTATATAATATACTGAGTGTCTGAGTGTTTGAATATCCTATGTTTAATAATTCAACATGCTATGTGTCATTTTCATTTTATCCAAAAGAAAAGAGTACAAAATTAAATTTAAGAGTAGTAGTTAAGGTGGTATTTTGGAGAGTTACGGAGTTAAGGTGGTATTTGTGAGTTAAAGAGGTATTTTGAGAGTTCAGGTGGTATTTTGTGAGTTAAGGTAGTATTTTTTAGAGTTAAGGTGGTATTTTGGAGAGTTAAGGAGTTAAGGAGGTATTTTGAGAGTTAAGATGGTATTTTGTGAGTTAAGGTGGTATTTTGTGAGTTAAGATGGTATTTTGTGAGTTAAGGTGGTATTTTTGAGAGTTAAAGGTGGGGTATGTAATTTTGGAGAAACCAGCTCGAGTGCGCTAGAATTTGAAAGTGCGCAGCCGAACAAAATCTGCCCCTTCCTTCAGACTTCCTTACAGAGCCCCTTCTCCAACACACACAAACGCGCACATGACCAATGAGGGAACGAGATAAGTTTGTGCACGAGATGGAAGGCTGACAGGCAGGTAGGCCATCCAGTTATTTTAGCCGGGCCGGCTCAGATGATTGGTCGTGCTTTTTACAGTACTACAGCTTCCACAGATGACATTTCTTTATGTATTTATTGTCAAAGCATTTAATATATTCATTGCTATCGGGATGTTAAGAGCATTCCATGGAATATAACAAAAAGTGTTTCTGAAATAAATTACATACCCCACCTTTAAGGTGGTATTTTTAAGAGTTAAGATGGTAATTTTAAGAGTTAAGATGTTTTTAGAGAGTTAAGGTGGTAGTTCGGGGAGTTAAGGGGTGAACGGCCATTTTTTGCCACTGAACTACAGAGGTTGCTGCAGTTATTTCTTACGCAGTATTCTGTCTTGAGTCTGAGAAATGTCACCTTATAACGCCGCAACATGAAATGTCCGAGGATTACTAAAGGTGTTATCATCCTAAAGAGGACATGAATATCAAAATGTCAAGTATTTGCCAAATAGATGGAGTTTACATTTCACTCAGTGGGTCAGCCCTCTTTCTCTTTAAAGCACATCAAGCAGAACTGGAGCTAACGGATAAACTGAAGTAGGGAAGCTGTGCATTGTAAATAAGCGTCTTTACAGAATCCTTAATCAATACCTCGATACAAGCCAGTGATCAATGGGTATTATGGGATTAGTTATGCATCGGTTCTGAGGAAAGGCTGACACACAGTCCCTCAGGGCTCAACTGTAAACTCTGCTAACAAGAGGAGCTAAATCAGCTGTGACAAGTCATGGAAACTGTGTGTTAACGCTTCAATAAAGAGTGTTTTCAATGTCTGGAAGTGTTAAGAATGAGTGATGCTTTAATGTTTAGGATCAGAGTCAGGTTTATTACAAAGTGACAAACCAGGAAAATGCCTATTGTGATAAATATCGGAAACATAAACACAGTACGAGGATTTCAATATGCAAAAGAGTAAGCAGAATATGAGAAATTACTCTCAAAAGTATAATATGTCCAGGATAATAGTTGATGAGTGGTTGCAGAAATGTACACAAAATACAGAGGAATGTGCACGATGATTAGTTTTAAACACATGTTGGAAGAGTTCGAAACACATTTTCCACGTATTATCAGATTCTCGCAGAAATGTCTCTTATTCTATTGCACTAAAGAAGAGACGTCTCTAAGGCTGCCCCCAGTTGGAGATGTTCGTCACCCTGTCATGTGTCTTTAGACGGCGATACATTTTGGAGAGTTAAGGTGGTATTTTGTGAGTTAAGGAGGTATTTTGGAGACTAAAGGAGGACTTTTGGAGAGTTAAGGTGGTATTTTGTGAGTTAAGGAGGTATTTTGGAGACTAAAGGAGGACTTTTGGAGAGTTAAGGTGGTATTTTGTGAGTTAAGGAGGTATTTTTTGAGATAAGGAGGTTTTTTTTGAGTTAAGGAGGTATTTTTTTAGATAAGGAGGTATTTTTTGAGTTAAGGAGGTATTTTTTTGAGATAAGGAGGTATTTTGAGAGTTAAGTTGGACATTTAGAGAGTTAAGGTGGAATTTTTAAGAGTTAAGATGGTATTTTGGTGGTTAAATCGGTTCTTCTGATTGTTTTTGGAAAGTGGAGGTGGTATTTTGTGAGTTAAGTTGTAATTTTGGATAGTTAAGGTGGTATTTTGTGAGTTAAGTTGTAATTTTGGATAGTTAAGGTGGGTATTTTGTGAGTTAAGGAGGAGGAGCAGAATAATTTTGAAAAAGTGCTACAAACAGATTACAAAAATTATTGGCCGAGGTGCAGTTCAATACACTTTAATGAGAACCTGGTATACCTCGGTTTGAGCCGATTTTTATAAATCTTTAGGTCCAGTTTGGATTTGGTTTGGTTGGATATTAAAAACTCTGTGTTTGAGCATTTTGAGTTTTTGGGTCAATTTTGGGCCCATTGTGTTGCGTAACACTTTACTATTCTGAGTCATCGGTTTAGGGTCCGTAGACCCACAGCGGGATTAAAGGCGATGTGCATCGAACGGCAAAACAGCAACACCCTTCATCTCTCTGACAAATAACTCTTTAATCTGACACACTAAAGTTAAACAGACTTTCCGGTGAATACCAATTAAATAAAAGGCTTCACGCTGCTGTCAAATTAAGAAAATGGAGAGCATTTGGCGGCGGGGGGTCCCCACTGTGCCGGGGTTTGAATGACAACAACAGAAAAGTGGGCTTCTGTCTTCTTTGTTTTTGACAAGCTGTTACGAATGAGGCGTTTTGTTCTCAATGTGGCGCACTGCGGTGAGTAGAGGGTGACAGGTCGGCAGAGAGAAGACGCTTAAGAGGAGGAATACACAAAGCAGCCGGCTGGAGAGAGCGAGGAGGAAACAGCGTTTTACTCTCACTCAGCTTCATAACTCACTGAAAGGACCACGAAGTCTTCAGGTTTTCCTCCACGATAAGAGCGGTTTGACTTCTCTGGCTGATAGGAAAGGAGCGTAAATGCTTC